AGATATCAGTGCTAAGAGCCGAGAGGCTGGACTAAAACTCTCAGTCAGTGACATCCTTCAGGGAAGAACGGTCCAAGGAATTGCGATGATTGCCGCCGACAAGATAAAAACACCCTCTGTCCTGCCGGAGAATATCACTGATGGCAGCAGATCTACTATCAGTGCAGATGCAAAACAACAAGCATTGACTGCCTTGTCTTTAGGGGAAGATGATGTCGAGGCCGTCTTGCCCTGTCTGAGTGGTCAGATGTTCTACATATCTTCTTGGCTCGGTAGCGGTCGACGACTGTGGGAATTTACATTTGCATTTACAAGCCGCGTCCGACTGGACCCAGAGAAATTAGAGCATGCCTGGCTACTGCTCCAAAGCCGACATAGCATTCTTCGAACATTATTTGCCGCCATTTCTGCAGTAGAGATAGTGCAGGTGGTATGCAAGCCGGCCAAGGCAAATAGAGGTCTTTGCGTGGAGAGTCAGCCATCTACGGGAAATCTCCAATCGGAAATCCAAGGCCTCACTCGCAAGATTACGTGCAGTCCGTCTGATCTCTTCACGCCTCCGGTTCGCCTTTGCCTAGTACAGCACACAGACTCGGACGTTCTTCTACTCACACTACATCACGCATTGTACGACGCCTGGACGATCCCGATGTTGATCGGAGACCTAGAGGCCTCGTACCTCAACACCCCCCTCGTACCCCATAGTAACTTCACGGCTTTTGTGCATCATGCCCAGCAGACAGCCGGTTCTAAACTTGCCGATGCTTACTGGAAGCCGGCAATCGAGGCTGGCCAGCGTACAGTGTTGGGAAGTAACATCCTCAGCGTCGGGAATCCCTCGCAACTCCTCTCATCTCAGCTCATTTACCCTCGAGATCTTAAGATTGTGGAAGATTGGTGCCACCAGATTGGTGTTTCCGTGCCCTGTCTTGTGTTACTAGCTGTCGGTCGTAGCTTGGCACGCATCGCAGATGTGACTCATCCTACTTTTGGTCTTTTTCAATCCGGGCGTTCAAGTGAATATCCGGAGATACACCGTGTAGCAGGTCCGACTGTGAATATGTTACCGTTTGTGATACCAGATGCCCTTACCCGCCCTCTGCTCGGGGCCCTCGAGGCTATACAGCATGATCTAGGCCAACGTGCTATCCATGACCAGACCAGTCTCCGTCAGCTCCGCCAGAGAATGAAGGAACTTGGCAACGACCCAGAATTCAATGTCCTTCTCAATATAGTCCTCAGTAAATCCACGGACAATTCAACCCGAGATGCGACTGATCCTCTTTTGACCCCGTTACCCATTGGTTTCGAGAATCACTTAATCGCTGAACGGCCGCTGGCCAGTGCAACGTCTGTTGACAAGTTCCAGTATCATTGGCTCCCTTGTGAGAAAAATATATACTTGGAGGTCAACTACAACGAAACCGGTGGTGAGCTGCATTGGAAGGTTGACTACGACGTAAACTCAATGACGACACTTGAGGCACAGACGCTTTTGGAAAGTATTGGACAGGAGGTGAATCACATTATAGGAGACTCGTGACTTAGGCCATGATACTTGCTCGACGAAGAGATGGACATGGTTGCGTGCGAGTGTAGTGGAATAAACACTTGCGGCCGGATAGAGGAAGTGATATCTTGTCTTATTTGCCTTCCAGAGATACTATGCATATGTAGAAGCCACGGAGCTTATTACGAGAACCAAGACGGACGTTGGGGGGTTACAGTTACGGGGGTCAGATTTTATATAGAATTAAGATAGTTTTCTGACCCCCTTGAAGCTTTGATTTTAGCTATCTTAAACTATATTTAAACTGGGAAGATTTTGAGATTCAATAAACTCTGAGTTATATTAAAATATTAATCTATTATGTAGCGAGACCTAGCGCAACAAATATTAATTGTGTCAGAGCGTTACCAAGCTCCGTCTTGTTTGCTCCACGAGGTCCAATAGCTCCCTCGAATCAATAGACGGAATACTGCATGGTTAGGTGGATAATCAGGGTGAATGAGGGCGTCAATCAACGCCCAAAAGCGCATTCTTCCTAGCCAAAACGGGACTTTCGAGGAGAGACTGGAGAGGTGAACTGGGAGGGCCGGATCCTGACTTCTATCCCAGAGGTTGCAGGTACTAGAGTATAGAAATTATAATGATCATCCACGGTTAAATAGAATCATCCTGGCTTCCCATTAGAGTTACAAGCTTATCACCGTGGAGGCGAAGGGATATTCTACAGCACAAAGTGACCAGGATTCCTCCATATCCATGTACCCTGCTTGGAAGAAGTCGGCGCACAAGCAATAATAAAGCCTTTGGTAGGAGAATGAACTATTTCCAGCTCCATAACCATATACGCGTTTAGACGACTCAATGCTAGTATGCTAGCATGCGTTAAGTTGTACATTCTTGCTCTATCAATTCCATCTCTCTGCTAGCTCTCAGAGCAACTTGTTTGGTACAATCGCCAGCCTTTTCGCCGATATAACCAAAGCGACACTTCCAAAATTTCCACCTTTTAAGGCACACCACATTGGTGCCATGATATAGAGATCCTGTTGCAGCCGAGAGGCATTCATCATGGCCTCCTGTCCCATGAATCGCTGCCTCGTAGAGGTATACACCACTGTGCTTGATCCATTCTGCTGCGGCTCTGACATGAAATCCGCTCCCGAGAATCTCAGACGGCTCTTCAAGGGCTTCCCGGAGTTCCCATATACCAAAGACGGTCCATGATATTGCGTCGAGCTTAAGAAGTCGCGCGGCAAACGCATTCAAATTAATCCACTTCTCTGCCTCATGACTTTCAATGGGGCCCTCAGTGGATGGGGGTGCTATTCGTGTGAGCAATGACCCAAGGAAAGGCTAATTATTAAACTCACCAACCCAAGCTTCTCTCATGCTGGGACCGAGCAAAGGTAGATCCGCCCAGAGACGAATAGTCGACTATACATAGTCAATACTTAGACCAAGTGCATTTTGTAATTAACATGATGTAGAGATAGCCCACCTGCCAAATATCAACGCTCAATGGAGGCAAGAGTGTAAGAGCCTCCACAAGGTCTACCATGCGGTCTTGAAAGGGGTGAGTGTGGGGAACTTGCCGGGCAAGACGGATAAAGACATCCCACACCAGCCAGAGAAATTCCTCAAGTTCGTCCTCCTGGACTTCTTCATGTGCTTTCTTTGAGTGCCTTGCGGGATTAAGCTTGTCAATTTCCTCCGTAGCTACTCGAATAGAATCCGCATCGCAGCTATGAAGAAGACCTTCGAGAGTATGAATCACTTTTTGTTCAACAACGTCTGTGTCCTCATGGATGAGGGTTTGTAAGGAGAGGCTGATCGACATTGTTAACAATTCTTCCTCTCGTTCCAGGGGTGAAAATATGTGTCTCGACTTTTGCTCAAGAAAAGGTTTCAGAGCACGCGAATTGTCGGTTGTCTGGGCTCACGGGTAGACCTTTGTAGTTTGGTATTGGACTAGGCTCTATGAAGGTTCCGACAGCCCAGACAGCGACACTCCAAACCTTGATGTTGTAATCACAATTGTCTAGAGCGCCTAGAAACAGGAAATACCCTTAGCGAATCCACAGTGGTTGAGATCATAGCATTCATGTTGGTAAATATCGGCGGTAACCCAGCTATCTAACCTTAATTGCCTTTGCGCAGAATGAGGCCTAAGACACGACAAGCCCAAGAAATTAAGTTATAAATTCACCAATAGTTGTTTCATCCAGACCCACCACTCCTCAGCTGTCGTTGGGGTGGCCTGTCATCAAGGCACTACCGGAAACCCGATAGGCGACGAAATCACTCCGAAATCCAACTGTTTCGATCTGATGTAACCTCTTGTCTCCCATGGGATCGCGTTTGGCTAGAAGTTTGCGACGGTGTGGCATTGGATCAGGGCTTGGCTATGGCAGGATCGACGAGACCCACAGACAATGTTTTCCAGACCGTTTAACCTCGAAATTTTATTGCCTAAAGTGCTTGGCATGTCGAGGATATTACTACATCGAGGTATTCGTCTGCTAACTGTTATTCTCTCAGATATGACCGCATTAATCGGATACTGACTAGATATTCAAGAGAAGTGACTGTCCCTCACTTCCATTAGCCATGTGTGATGTGCAGATAAGCAGTTCAGCTGAGTCTGTCAGAGACGCCATTCATTACACTACATTCGTTATGAGACTAGGGCTTGACTTCGTATCTGACAATTGTGGAACCTTAGGAGATGCGCCATGATGTTATAGCAATAGTAAACTTATTTTGAGTTGCCAAGTTTCCTGTGAGTACACCTTAATAAACAGATAATGCAGGTTACGAAATGTACGCAAGCTACTGCAGGGTTTCCTGCAGCCCTTAATGGATAGATGTGCACTTATATCGCGCCACAGTCGATCTGTAGTGGGGCAATTCGGGTGGTAGCCAGTAAATTAATGTCTGATTCCCCTAAATGCCATCCACCTTAGCCACACTCCATAACATAGAGCTGCATTCTAGACCGCATGCCAAGTGCCGTGCCTTCCAGGAGGCTGAGACTGTAGGGTACCAACAACAGAAACACGCGCAAAGTAAAAATACTGCTATCATTGCCTTCCGGATCCGATAGGCCTGAAGGGTACATTGACCCATGTGATTTATCAGGTCTCCGCTGCGGTGAGTTAGTGGCCTGACATAGAGACATTTTGAGGTAGTTTCACGAAGTTACAGACACGCTAAGGTTCTGGGAAATAGAGCAGGTTTTTGTTTAGGTTGAATCTGAAGAGGCATGGAGATGGCCCGTTCTAGAAACTGGGCTTTGATTCAGAACTGGGCTTTGATTCAGAACTGGGCTCTCTCTGATATATGGCCTGTAAGAAATGCTGGCTCACTTGAATAGTCTTCACGGAGCCTATATATACTGCAGTCAACCCGTGCGATACGTACCTAAAATTTCATAGACCATCCTCCCAACCAATCTTCCCCCGCCTGTGACAGTAGGATTTGACCTTTCACTATGCGTCCCTTTTTCTGGCTTGCTGCCTTTGGGGCTGTAGTGTCAGCATTACCTGGCCAGCTCATTGCAGACCAAGCTAGAAGTAACATCGTGAAGAGGGCAGACGAGCATGTCCAATTCGTCGATGCGACTGGAGATGGTGAAACGCAGATCACGCGGCCCCCTTCAAAGGACGACGAGTATAGTATCCTCGATGGCAATGGAGGGGTAGACGCATGTCCAGTCGGACTGATTGGCAAGCGCCAGACGACTCCAAGACCAGCTCAGACACCGGAGAATATCGAAAGGACATTGAAGGAGCTGCAACGCCGCTGGCTTAGACAGGAGCTCGTGGGCCGTGCCAGTACGTATACAGCTGTCGAACACGATGGGAGTATACTGACCTCTAGTGAAAAGGGTATCCTCACGTGTTTAATAACTACGAAAGACTCCCGTTCCCAGGATTTGAAGATACTCAACTATATGAATTTCCTCTCCTGCCTTCTACCGAGCCGATCTATAGTGGCGGTAGCCCCGGTGCTGTCCGAATCTTGTAAGTACAATCCCTTCCTCGTTTAATGTTCCAATGCTGATCAAAGCTTTGCCAGAGGTGCAATCTCCAGCAATGGCCAGGTCGAGTTAGCCGGGTTCATCCGACACCCGCCAGGGAACCGTGGAGGGTTTGAGTTGTGCCCCGAGTCTGCTGCAGTAGCTTCTACCACCACTATCTCTCCTGATGTTGACGACAGTGTGTGTGAGGGGGTTCCCCACACGCATGATGAGAGCCGCAGGGCTATACAGCTTGACTTTGGCCTGGCCCGGCGAGATGCGTCGGATGCGCTCCGCAGACTCTGTCAGTCGAAGCAACGGATTGGAGCAGGCGTTCAGACTGGAACCAATGGAGAAGTATGGTTTTTCCGGGGCGACGAATACATCCGCTACTCAACCAATGACGAAAGCATTCATTTTCGAAAGAAGATTGTCGATGGATGGCCAGGACTTCGCAATACTCCATTCAGTGAAGACATTGACGCCGCGGTCAAGACTGGGACCTCGGATGAATATTGGCTCTTCAAAGGAGATGAATATGTTCGCTACTCTACGAATGGTGAAAGGATCCATTTCCGAAAGAAGATTGTTGAAGGCTGGCCGGGACTGAAAGGCACGCCATTCATCCAAGGCATTGATGCGGTGATCAGAAGCGAGACGAGTGGAGAGTTATGGTTTTTCAAAGGGGATGAGTATGTCCGCTATTCAACCGACGACGAAATGATTCATTTCCGAAAGAAGATTGTCGATGGATGGCCAGGATTGAAGGACACCCCGTTTGTCCGTGATATTGACGCCGCAGTCAAGACTGGCACCAGTGAAGAATATTGGTTCTTCAAGGGTAATGAGTACGTTCGTTACTCGACTGAAGATGAGCGCATTCACGTTCAAAAGACAATCGCTTCAGGGTGGCCAGGGTTGAAGAACACGCCCTTCAGTCGACGACACAAGCGTACGGGGGCTTGAATGGGCCAATTGAGGGTCGGACACTTGAACTCATCCTAGGGCTTTTTCCAGTGGGGCGTAATATGTTCTCTCTTGTGTCTGATATTTCTTGTTTCCCTGCCATATATATACATATCGCACAGAAGCCAGGTCTTCGTCATTTCGTAACATCGGGAAAGAGAGCTCTTCCTTCGATAGAATGAATAGTCCTTTTCTCGGTAGACCTTGTTTTTCTCACTGCGATCGCCACAACGAATATCCTCTGTTCAGCTTCATCATAACAGGCTCTAGGATGGGATGCTAATGAATGGATATTAGCCGTCAGATCGCTCGCTTAGGGTCAATAATATAGCGCTAAAACCAATTCCATCCCCTTTCCTTTCCTTTGTGGCTTAAATCTAAAGCTGCCGACACGGGCTCAAAACTGATCGAGCTGGCTTGTTGTCCCCCTTGTGCACTAGATTAAATACTCACGACAGGTCGATTCATCAATGTGGTGTAATGCTGGTTGCCTCAGGCAATGACTACTCCACAATCAGCAAGACAACGGCAGGGCTTTGCTGAAATCATTGTCCTTGAAAAAACCCTCGTCCGCTTGGGGTGATTCATACATTGTCGACGTGTTTCCACAACTGATTCCATTGTTTGACGGATGGACGGCCGAACCCGTTTTCTAGCAAGTTTTAGTAAGTGAGCTTGTTCTGTTACAGGCGGCATTTATTCCGATTTGATCGGTCAATATGAGGCTTTATTGCGCAGGCGTCAACTCTCTATTCCGTACAAATTAGCCTTATTTGATGCTTCAGTATCTTAGTGACTTGATAGAATAAAGATGATAAAATTTAGCACATATTATTATATGGCCTATATAAGGGTGGAAGATATCTCCTCTGATTTCTTTAATATATTACTGTACTTTTATTTGTAATTTATATAGAAATATATATAGATTATCTAAATCTTGACCCTTTTTATATAATATTGAATATTGGCAGGGATAGTAATACAATATAATACTAGGCGGTAAATGGACTTAGTGGGAAGAGCTGTTGTTGCGGAGTGGCCGCTATGATCCTCCGTAGGAGCCCTAAATACGTAACGGTATGCTGAATCACGTGCCCGATTCATTGTCTACAGAAAAGGTCTAACCGAATTCAACGTCTCTGAGACTATCCTAAAGTCATCGCAGCTGCATACATGCCCATCCCAGCAGCGGCATTTACTTATAAATATAACCCGGCTAGCAGCCGCTCCTTTAGATCCTCCCAGCAAGCCACTCACGCAGCGTTTCCTTTGGGTCCTCCACGTCCTCCTCAAATCCCAAGAGCTTATTGTCAGTGTACTGCGGCTTCGCATGAGCACCCATCCCATCAGCATACAGGAAACAGGCCAGCAGATCCTGATACGGCCGAATGCCTGCATCCCGGCCCTTCTCTCTGGTCTCTTTCTCGGCAGCTTTCCTTATTTCCGTGCCGCTGAGATGTTCGACCGTCCAAGACTGGCCGTAAAGCTCTTCGATGACGTGTAACAGTTTATTCTGTGAGGCGGTGAAGGATGCAATGACAAGGTATCGATTGGCTGTTTCCTTGGGCCGGCTGAGGACCGCGGCCATGGCTTTCCCGATGAAAGGGTAGCTGGAGACGTGAAAAGGTTCGTCTCCGGAGTCAAAGATGCCGGCGGCGTGGGCCGCTTTATCGAAGCGGAGATGTCCTACCGTGAGAGCCTGCCGCGCGCGGGCTTAGTTTGTGAAGGGCAAAGGGTGTGGTGGGTAGATATTGATAAACCAATAATAGCAATTCAAGGAGCGTGGGCACAAAAAACTTACCCATTCAAGGAAGAGCCCAGTGCAGATCCGCGTCCAAGTGAATGCTGGGTTTGCATCTGATTTACTCTGGAGGTAATCCAACAGGTCAAGCTTGCCCTGGATGGCGCCGGCCATTTCCGGGTATGGCAGGCCGGACTTGTAGTCAGCGACCCCAAACTCCGAGGGGATGAAGCGCTTCACGCCAACGGCGACGCAGGCATCGACGATCAGACGCTGTTGGTCGGAGCTGGCGGTTTAGACCATCGATATAACAGCGTCTTGCTCCGTGAGGGCATCCTTCACGGAGTCAAGAGATGCAAACACAACGCTTTTGACATTGACACCGGGAGGAAAGGTTGAGGTGGAACACTCGCGGGTTAGTGCCGTGACTTGGAAGCCGGATTCCAGGAGGGCTTGCACGGTGGGGGCACCGATGTTGCCAGAGGCCTAGGGAAGACGGGACGTGAGCTTTGCGAAAGCGTGTCCCAGGACGATATCACCTACACCAATAACAGAGACGGTCTTGATGGCCGACATGGTGGATGATGTTGGTTCTCCTTTACTTTTGTTTGCGATCCAGGGGAAGGGGTGGGTGAAGATGCGTGAGTGACGATGGGCGTCGGTATCGGGAAACGATATTTAAGTGCAAATACTTAGATTAATACTCACGGCCCTCAGTGATATAGTATCACTAGGGGCGAATCCCACTCGGGTTTCTCTCTCCGTTGTCCACAGAAACCCCTATCCGCATGTGCTCATTTTATTTCTGACCCACAAGCAACATTCAGGTCCCAAAATTTCGCTATCTCATGTTATGGATCATATCATTATCCAATTTGTTGCATACAAAGCGAATCGAAATCCGTATACCTCCCATCACATTCCACTCCTTCCCTTTAGACATGCATGTTTCAAAATACAGCTGGCCTCCTGAGAACACGAGGGAAGTTGATTTCTCACTTCTGACGGGCATTGGTGCCGAGCACCAGGCGTGTCCTCGGAAGTCGTAAGTATTAGTGCATGTCAAACTTTGGAACCACTCCAAGCTGTCTGCGTGCTAGGGTTAGTGATTGAACTCTCCAATGACTAGTCCAACTAGTCCTAACGAGGTGACACTAAACCAACTGTCCGAAGATACGACGATGTGGTATCCAATGACCCAATCAAAAGTCCAATGAGGTTCAATGATCGATCGACTAAACACAGTAAGGATAGAAGCAAGGTCTAAAGTACGTATACTCAGTCGTAAAGGATGGTAAGGCTTGGCGAATCAAACGAGCAATGTTCGAATGTAGGTATCCAATTGACAATGTTAAACAACACGAGTAACTACAAACATGGGAAGAAGTGTCCTTCCTAAATCTGGTATATCCTTAGAAGTGTCCCGGCAGATGGTATATCATATACTCTTGGCAGGTTGTGTCGTCGCTAGTTAGCCTTGTCAGCTGATGTTAGCTGGCTGGCCGTCATATTGGGTTAGCGGGTAGGTATGTTTTAGAGAATTTTATCAATATACCTTTTTTTTTTCTTTTATACTATATATCTGGAATACAGTATAGGTATTTCTTTATAGTATATTAAAAATTCTAGCTATATTTGCTCTTATATTAGGGGAGTTATTTAATGTCAAATGTAAGATTTTCGTGGCAAAAATTGGGTGTTTCACTACTTAACTATAGTTATCACATCACAGCTTACGGCATAGCAGAACAGACTAGCCATGACGAAAAGCTTGGAAGAGGAAAGAAATTCAGGAGGAACGCGACAAGTGCCGAGGTCACTGGAGAAAGAGGCCCGGTGGCAATCCAGGGCCACATGCTCTTTAAACAGGGTAAACATTGTGTCAACAAGCTGGCAATACGGCCTGAAAAGTATCATCCTGCTTCAGTTGCATCTACAAATGCGTTGAAGGTCAATTTCGTGTGGTGTATCCAGCTAGCGGCCGACAACGTAGGTCGGAATAGAACCACCTGGTTTGTTCAATGCGCAAAGACTTCTACTCAAGACTCTTTGAAAAGGTCTCTGTACTAAGAATAAGCTAACCTATCTAAGTTACAGGCATCGTTTGTGGAATTTAGAGGCATAAAACCTAGTCAATGGTATACACCAACTTCTGGCCGCTCACCAACCCCTTTCGTTGCAGCTCAAGCCCCTCGAGAATATTGTCCAAGCCACCCTGCAAACGCAGCGGGTTCGGCCTCAAAGCCTTTGTCTCTAGCCAATTAGGGATGGCCTTCATATAGGCTTTCCAAGTCTGCTGATCCTGGGGCCTCGCACCCTCCGTGTCCTGGAACGATTCATAGAGTTCCACTTTCTTGGACCCCAAGTTCTCTCCAAAAACCGTGTAGCACAGCGCAACGTTCAACTTGACATTCGCTGGTAGGCCAATTTCCTCGGCTGTACGCGCCATGATGCAAACAATGTGCCCACCTTCTTCCGGGAAGGTCTGCACGCAGGCCTTGGTGGTTTGGTACGTGCTGATTGTGTCAAAGACATGATGCAGGCCACCCCAGACGTCCGCCACCTTCTTGACCTGGTCAATCCAGTCCTCGTCCCGGTAATCAATGACCACATCGGCACCTTGGCTCTTGACGAGCTCGTGGTTGCGCTTGGACGCCGTGGCGATAACGTACAGCCCGGCCATCCTGCACAGCTGCACAGCGAAAAGACCGACGCTCGACGAGGCGCCATAGATAAGGACGGGAAAGGGCTTCTTCACAGGATCTGTTGCGTCTGGAATCTCCAGCCACTTGAGGGACACGGTTGCCGTTGCGAGCGACAATGAGATCGAGGCAGCCTCGACGTTTGTGACGGAGTCTGGGACGTGGAAGACATAATCGGGGTGCGCCATAGCGTATTGAGCGAAGGTGCCGCGGCAGGGGTCGATATCGCTTCCCATGACGAAGCCGGCGACCCGCTGACCCTTTTGCAGGGTTGTGCCGTTCGGGTCGATGACGGTGCCGGCAAAATCATCTCCGCAGATAACACCAGGTTTGGACACGGCGATACCGTTGAGATCATTGCTTTGCGCCGTTGCGTTGATCTTTAAGAGGGCATGACCAGGGAGGGGCTTGGGGATGGGGACCTATACAGCCGGGTCAATAAATGCTAGAATAACACCAATGGGTTGGGTTGTGGTTGGAAGGCTACCTCTTGGATTTCTGCTTTGCCTGCCGGAATGGTCACTAAAGCTCTCATCTTGCCGTCCATTGTTTCGGAATTATTCTTCTAATGTATTGAGTAAATTGATGGCGTTTTTCGGCGGAAGGCAGGCGTGGGTTTTATACCCGGAAAACCCTATCCAGATGTTTCTACGGCTAGTGGAATGCCCATGGCCCATCGTCCATTCATTGGATTTATAATTGCGCCCGACCAAGGACGCACCCCAAGCCAGCCTCCAAGGTGGAAGGCCGTAGCGAGGAAGAGCGCTGGTAGCGGATGAACTGGAATACCCTACCTGGAGGTCCGCGGGCAAATAGAGTCTATGACTGTCTCCACAGCAGACCCACCAGCTCTCTAGCGACTTCCACCTGGAGAAAAGTGGGCCAGTCTATGCCCTTTTCGCCTTTTCGCCGCGGGCTTACAATTCCATCCCTCATGCTAGAGGATCCCTTCCAACTCCTATGTCGCCGACTATGTATGACTATTGCGAAATTATCGGCATCTCATCTCCCCTCTCATAGTCTCTCTCGTAGTCATGCCAATCAGGAAACGATACAGCGGCTGCTGGACCTGCCGCCGTCGCCACGTCCGATGCGATGAGGGCAGCCCCACCTGTCTGCGGTGCGAGCGCGCGGGCATCGAGTGCATGGGCTACTCGATCGAGCTCTCCTGGGTCGCGAAAGACCGAGATCCTCGCATCCCCGGTAGAGCCATCCGTCGTTTACCTCCGATCGAGCACTTGCCTCAGGCCGACCCGGTAAAGCTACAGACCGAGCTAGACTGGCTGGCCGAGATCTATGGCGAAGGACGACGGCAGCTGTTCTCGGTATTTTCCCTCCGCAAGGGAGCTGACCAGGCCCTTTCGAGTGAATCTGGTGAGAGACAAGAGCTCCTGTATGAGGAGAGCACCGCCGCCATGGTGGCGGGTGAAAGCATGACTTTGCCAACCCCGGCAACACGGTGTAATTGTCCTTATTCTCAACAAATCTCCACCGAGCAGTATCATACTACGTGTCCTTGCCATGATCCAAGGCCCACGCAGGAATTGACAGATCTGGTCCCACGCCATCTAGACCCATTGCTGCTCCTGCCTGAAAGCGAACGCCGGCTCGTTCACCACTGGACTACGGCCCTCGGCCCTACACTGATTCCTGTCAATGGGGTGGAGAATGTCATGACCTCGGTGCTTCTCCCACTGGCATTATCCAAGGGCCTGGCCGTGGCCCACTGCGCCCCAAACGGGTGTATGGCTCTCCTCTATGCCATTTGTGCGATATCCGCCTCCAACATCGCCTCTCTCACTCCCGACCAGGATGAGAAGCTGCTGCTACTCGCCCTCGGCGAATCGCACCGCCGTCGCAGCTTCACCCAGCTCCGGCAAAGTCTGGGTATCAACAGCCCCTGTACCGGCGAAGACGAGCCGACGATCATCGCCATGCTAGCCACGATAATTCTGTACATCATGGAGAGTACCACCAGTGGGATAACCCAGGCATGGCGCTTCCATATCGCGGGGGGCAACGCCCTCTCCAGGCATACCCCTCCAAGCCTATGGCGGTCCTCGCGGTCGGCGTCGATGGTTTTTCAGACCTTTCAGAAAATGAATCTCATGGCGATGCTGGCGGATATCTCCCCAAAGGCTTTGGCCTCGTTGAATCCTCCCCCTTCCTCTTCTTCTACAACCAGTACTACTCCTACCGCGTTTGACCCGAACAATCTTGACGCCGTGCTGCGCGAGCACCAGGATCTATCCTACACCCAAGAAGCACTAGGAATCCCCGCTGGTCTATTAACGACCGCCGCAGAGATCCTATCCTTCCAGAATACATACTCGCCAGAAGACACCGACTGGGCCGAACTCCGGCTTTCGCGCTTCGTGCCAGCACACCCACAGCCACACCAATCGACCAACCTCTCCTCCCCATTCTTCCCCTCCTCCCTCGGCAGCAAACCTGATAGCCACCACATCTTCTCCTACTCCACGCTGATCTGCTACAAACAATCCCTCCCCCCCTACACGCGCACACGCGAAACGGACGCCCTCGCGACCCTAGGCCTCCCGCACATCCTAGCCCTCCAATTCAACTACAACTACACCCACCACCACACGCCCATCGCCTGGTCAATCGTCATCATCTGCTCTGAGATCCAGGACGCACAAGCACGGGAGCAGATTCTCGCCTGGCTATCAGAGCGGCGGAAGAGCGGACTCGCGATTTATGCGCTTGCCGAGGAGATGGTGCGGGAGATTTGGCGGGTTAGGGACTCCGGGGATGATCGGGGATGTCGCGCGTTGTGGCGGGAGGTTATTGGGGTGAGGCCGGGGTTGGATGTTTATTGGGGGTAGGTGCGTGAGCACCTGGGTGCCTGATCTAGGATACCCACCTAGCTCCTGAAGAGCTTGATTGTTGATCGGCTTGGTGGTGAGCTGCGTATGATACTTCTGTGCACGGATATTAGCGGCTGTGGTTATGGTAGCCGGTCGGAGAAGAAGTAGGGGTCAAGGAGCCCAAATGACATGAATGGAAATAAAGTTTCAATGATATTATCTCTCTGTTCCACTATCTATCTTCTATATATGTCACTGAATTATCTTTTCCTGTGTCTTTCGCGAAGACCTTCAGTGCATGAAGCCACGCCGTATCATGCCCAACCGAATCCTGTATTGGTCCGGGGGACCTTGGCAGTAAGGCTCAGGCTAGGAGGAAGGTGGCTACAATGGGTCCATAACTAGCGATGAATACTAGGACGGTATAGAAATGCTGCCAGGCACATGTCAGCGGAGTTACTATGATACTTATTGCATCCAGCTAGCTAGGCTTGGTAGGTCTAAAGAGAACCGCAATATGACAGAAGAGTAAATGATATAAATTGTACATACATAGATGATTGAATAGTAGATATTGATCCTGGCTACCAGCTATAGAGACAAGCAAAGCAGAGCACCCGGCGTTGCAAATCCGGTAGTACACCTAGAAGTCTGGGCTGGAGATATCCTTAATAGTTCACTCAGGCACTATTCTCGTATTGACTCAGGGATTGTTCCAACCGATTGTGAAAGCCTATGGATATCTGTGACACAATATGATTCAATTGCGGCCTAGCTTTGCGGCCTCAGTTGCGTCGGATACTGACCAAGTAGTAGTAATAGTAGGAGTATTAGTCAGGGCTCACGTATTGCGCTATAGACCGTGCTTGCAAGAAGTTGCCTGAAAGGCCATTGGAAAGACGGCCCATGCGACCAAGGCAAGGCCCGGTACCTAGTCTTTTTTCTAACTAGTAGCCATATCCTGTGCCCAGTCACACTATCCTCGCGACCATACCCCATTCCTCAGCTTTGGCTTATGCCCAGATCTCTGTGTAGACTATGTGACATTCCCCCACATTATAATTCGCCGATGCCGTGGCCACGGCAGATTAAGATGTGACGGTCTGATCTGGGGAGACAACATCCGAGACGGCTACCGGAGTCCGCGCAGGCCGATCCATCCTCAGTGTCCGCCCAATCATAATTAACTACCTTCCTTATATCTTATTAAGTTCGAACGCCCTAACTATAGTTAACTACACCTCACCTTCTAGACATATTTTCACGTCCATAGATTTGAAAAGCTTAATGTGAGCTTCTCAGCAATCCGCACTACTCGCCAATATGTCCGCATCACCAGTACACCGCTACTAACCCCCACCGTTGAGCTGCCGCACTTCACGGAAAACCAAACCTCTGTGCTCTCCCTGATCGGTCAATTTGGTTTCCTCTGGGCTGCTGTTGTTGGAATCGGGTGTATGACGATTCGACAAGTTCGCCCGTCGGCGAGTACCTCTGACCAGCTTACGTTTGTGTGGATGTGTCTGAGTATGTGATAAACCCCCCGGACTGAGATCTATACTGACCATGGACATAGCTGGATTTGTCCACCTCTTCTTCGAATCCTACTTCGTCGTCAACCATGTCTCTCTCGCCGGATCGCAGGAGCTTTTCGGCCAGCTGTGGAAGGAATACTCCCTCTCCGACTCGCGGTATCTAATTTCGGATTCGTTCCTCGTCCCTATGGAAGCTGTTACTGCTGTACGCTATCCTTCTCACCTGCACAATTTTATTCAGCGTTCAATCTTGACAATGATGATAGTTTGCCTGGGGGCCCCTCGCCTTCTTCATTGCTTACTGCATCGCGGTGCAACACCCCGTCCGCCATGCCCTCCAGCTGATCATGTCAGTGGGCCAGGTCTACGGCGATGTGCTCTACTATGCGACCAGCCTGTTTGATCTGTATTTCCACGGTGGGGACTTCTGCCGTCCGGAGGGATACTACTTTTGGTTTTATTATTTCTTTTTCAACGCCATTTGGATTGTGGTTGGGTCTTGTGAGTTATCTTTTCTCTAGTACCTTATGCGGGGAGTGCTAACATGGTGTAGATTATGCGTCGCAGAGTGCTATGGAGATCACACGGGCGTTTAGGTTGTTGGGTGAGCTAACCAGAGGTAAGAAGGGAAACTAGTCGTTTGGTTGAGTGGGTATATCATATACATAAATGAGGGTGAGAGTATAGCATAATTATAATCAATGATACTAATCTAGACTATACAATTGAAAAGGCTAAGCTGAACAAACATTCTACTCTATACAACAGAAAGACATGCTGTTTATATAGCCCCAACATCCTTCGCCATATTAACTGTCATCTTCAGTGTACTCATCAAGCAACAGGTAAGTCACAGTCGACTTTACGTATTACGGATTTGCTCTGTGCAGTTCCACCGTCCACCATCATCGGGCTTCTCTAGCTCCTAGACTAATTCCTTCAAGTCGATAACCTCCGATTTTCCCTTCCCGGTAAACTTTTTTATAGTAACCAGCTGTTGAACCCCGCCGTTTTGGGCTCCGGGTCCGACTCTTTAGCGCCTTTATCGGCATTTTCTTCGTTGGGGGGGTGTTTGGATGCTCCAACGATGAAAGCGCTGCCGTTGTGGAATGCGTAGTTGGTATCGCCAGCGAGCTCCCATCCCAGCCAGAATGTCTCCTTGTCGCCTACATCGCTGTTAGCATCCACATCCAGCCCTTTGATACAATCGATAAGCGAGGAACAGCCTACTATAAACTATTTCATAGATCCCCACCTTCCCATGATTCTTATCCTCACCGTCCCACCAACATCAACGCCGAAAGATGTCTCTACTTATCTACTACGACTACGCCTGACTCCTATATATAACTACTATTGCCCATCCCTATGTGCGACTCGGCGGCCTTTTTTGACATTAGCTTTAGTAGGATCTGCTGTAGCTACTTTTTCTGCGACCTAGGCATGATTATGTGGACTTTGAAGAATATCACCCCTTCTCCATATACGCCGGATTATCATACAACAACACAGCCGCATGACAGAGAAGAGCGTATCTGGGTCAATACATAGCGCTTTGCGGAAGCTAGAATATAGGATTGTAAACAGCTTCACCGCCCATCTGGGTAGTTTCTAGCTGTATTTGAGCACCATTTGTCCTAGTCGCGGGTGATGACACCTGGGATGAACTTGACCTGTTCGCGATAGTCTTCGCCGAGATCCCTATCGCCGACGTATATTACCTTGATTGGGAGGTAATAATATGTGTTAGGTTGAACATGCGAAGACAAATCTCACATCTGGGGACCGTGCACTGGACGAACTTCCCACTTTGGCGCGAGAGGACCTCATCAACGGGTTGACCGTCGACGGGATTGATGATGGTGTCCCTGTGTTGCCGTATTATGCCCCTGGGATTCTGGCCGAGGCTTTGCGCAATGTTGGTGGTGGTGACTGGGAGACGATGTTGGGGGCATTTATGCGGTTTTTGGCCCGGGTGTTTGGTTGGGTCGAGGCCGCGATGGGACCAGCCGGGGGGTATCATTGGGAGGGATTTGGCCTTTGCGTTTGTTCATTGTGCGGATCCGGGAGCTTTGGCACAAATTGAAATGCCGTGGGAGGGGGGTTGATCATGATTTCCTCCGCCTCTTTCATATAATGGGGGTTTACTGCACTGACTGACCACTGATCGGTTGGACATGGATAGATGTATTTTGAACTTGTATACAGTTCGATTTAACCCGTCCCTTTCTAGTGCTTCAGTTATACATGCACAATCGTAACGTCGAGATTAACAGGCAAGACGGTCAATTAGATGGAAGGGAGTGAGTGATTAATATATAGACAACTGGAGGCACATTCGTGGCTGGTTAGTTGCAGAATAAATTTCTCTGAACTGGTAAGACCAAAGACTCTGTCGAAGTTGATGAACAGAGTGGGTAGTCTGTCCACCATAGCGTTCCATTTCCCCGCCCATACAGCCTGGTCTACACATAATTGGGGACTTCGCGATAGTAGCTGATCATCTACGGCCGAATAGTTTTCATATGTGAAGGGCAAAAGGGAAATATAGGAAATGCGAAATAGACGACGCGGGAGGGAGGATGAAGACCATGCCTAGCCTTACCAACAGACAATAGGGTTGAAACGATACAGGAGCGAGCAATCATAAGTAATTCGTGCCACAATTTCCCAACACCTGAGCAAAATCGTCGGAATAGACAGAGCAACTCCCCGCACCGAAATCAATACCCAGATATGGCATGGGGAAGCACCGGAGCGCCTGTTTCCACCATCGGCCTACAAACCTAAACGATGACCGCCCAGGCCTCGAAGGCCGCGGCGTCATGGCGGATACAATGCCCACCTGATTGGGGTGAATCAATATATAGCACAAAAGTGAATACAGGAAAAAGGAAGGAGAGAGACCGAACTCCAGCACCACTTATTTGCGGCCGTTGTGATTTGATTGTTGTCCCATGTTCCATCGAAGAGCTGAGGGTTGCTGGAATCGGATCAAGACGAAGTGTACTTTTCTGCCCCATAGCTTAGGCTTTACATCCTTTTCATTCCTGGTTACTGGGATTTTCAAACAAGAAAAAGGGCTAAACTAGAACCTTATGAATCAATATCGGGACCGGAACATCGTGATCATCTAGGCAACATAGACAACCTGGTATCCACAACACCGAGGTCAACGACGAGAGAAGCAAATAGAAGAGCTCTCACATCCCGCCCAAACCCATGCTCCATGCCCTTTGCCAAACCAATTCTTACTGGCCAGACTCAATCTTGAAATCCAAGCGCATATGTAAGTTCAAACCTGCCCACTCGGTTTGGCTGGACATGATATGAATTATGGTTGCAAATGTGTCCTTCCTCTGCTCCTTGGTGGTCCGTTCGGTGGCACTGAGCTAGTGTCCAGAGAGCCGTCAGCATTGGATGGATCTACTTGGATAACATAAGGCTACTGACAGCAAAGGGGAACTCGAAGCGGACTTCGTCTGAGCTCGTTTTGAACTGAAAATCTAGTATAGCTACTTCGGGGAGCTTGTGGTACTGTTCTTCGATCTCATTCAGAACGTTGAGATAGTACTCGGCAAGAGTCTCTTCTGAGATGGGAACTGGACCAAACTTGGGCCTTCTGTTAGTTGAGACGGCATGTTGAGAGCTTAGGATTATACTGACATCCCGTTCTTTGATGACGCTGGGCATGATTGAGGATTTGTCAATGATGGTAGACAGGGACTAAGTTTGTGGATGACAGGATCGCTTGAAGATGAGGGTAGATGTGAGAAGAAGGGAGCTGATACAAAGGAGGGATGATGGGAAGAAAGTTGGGGGGGAAACAACGAGGGACAGGGACTCGAATGACCGAGTGAATATATCGCCATCGTTACTCAGCCAACATTATTAGTCTGGAGTTCTTACTACTAACCTACTGATACAAGGATCTTGGGCTTTCTCCTGGTAATTCCAATATTTAAATATCTCACGTTAAAATACCAGTATCCGGAACCTTCCAGTATCATTTTGCTCGGATATTTTCAAGATCTGTATTAGCTCTAGTCACATCCCCGAATTAATCTAATTACAAGGCCTCATATCTTTTGTATATATGTCCTCTTTTTTTCTTCCTTCCTTTTTCTGTTTTTTAAAGCATCCTAGCCTCACTAAATTGACGGTAGTGGAATAGTACAACCCAGAAAGACGACCGCATCTGTCCAATGAGTTTACAACAACTACAAAACAAGCACATACTAAGGCAGCTTAAACTGACCATCCGGTCAGAATAAAAAAAGAATATATAGAAAAGAAGGAAAATCCTGATGTTTTGTTCAGTCACCTTAGACTGGGCAATGGTGTGGGCGTGGTACTGTCCTCGGGAAGTGTGGTGCGTTCGATCAAAGATAGTAATCGAAGACAGGGAGTAGAAAAATATGCAATCTTGCAGGGGATGGTCATTTGAACATTATCCTTGAATCCAACAGAAATCTGGCTGGGGAATGGTGAAGTACTGAGCCACCTTCGCAGCGGGAGGGGCATTGATGGCATCCGTGGGTATCTGCGCGCCAGCATGTCTTCGGATTATTCGAAAAGGCATTTTGGATGCTCAACATGGGCAACTTGAACCAATAATGAACGTTACCCAGGATGCTATGTTTAACAATCCAACGCTGCCCGATTTTGATTCTGTGCTGAAGCCTAAAGTGGACGCGGTGTATGCTGTCAATGAGGTTTAGATTCAGCTGGGGTATGACTTGGATTTCTTCATAGCTCTCTCCTCAATATCTGGTATCACTGGCAACCAAGGCCAAAGTTCATATGCAGCTGCTAGCACGTTCCTGGACGCCTTCTCGGCATACAATCGCCTTCGGAATTGGCCATTTACGTCAATCGATCTCGCTCCCCTATGGGACATTGCTTACTTGGCTGAAAATCTAGAGAAGAGACGTCTGGTGAGAGAGCAGATCGGAAAGGAAGGCATGATTGAAGGTGGTCTGCATGATATTTTGACAGTTGTCGCCTCCCCCAGTGCCAAACATTTCGCAACTCCCAAATCCTCATAGGAATAAATATTGACATTAATAGCCCTCAGCTCTGGGCTGGAGATGCCCAATTTTCGCATCTTCTGGGTCTTTCACACTAAGAGCCGAACCAGACTGATAGCCAATCCACCGGGGAAGCGCCTAAAAGAGTTCAACACATGGACGACGCTCATCGCATCATCACCGACACACCTGTGGAGAAGGTATCTTCATGACGGTCACTCCGGTAGATCATATCGATGCCCATGTATCACTTTTAGTATATATCCTGGATTCATTATCGGCTAGAGAGCTGCGAAGATGGATATCGCGCGAATTTGAGGCTGCACTTGAGACCTTTGATATTTTGACCAGCTCTTCATTGGTAGAGCTGGTAAAGGTTATCCTCACATGCTCACATCTGGTGCCAAAGGAGCGCAAAGTGAAGTAGGAATTGCTGTGAGCCCTCCCTGATATAGATGGGCTATTACGCCGGTGCGATGCTAGGGTATACCCTATCTATAGTATCACCCGTTATTATTTCATAAGCATTTAGGATCCAGGTCTTATGAACAATACAACTTCCCTTATCAAACGCGCACGATCCTCAGGGCAAGGGCGACGTTGAGCCAATGGATGCCTCGCGTCAGCAGTTATGATAAGGCACGGATCGCCTAGGAGCAACCGTAAACCACAATACATTTCTCGTTGTATCTAGGAGCTCGCTAGCAGAAACGCCCACAACACCACGTGACGATACATCGTCGTAGATACCACAGATTGTAGGTGAGGAAGAATTATAAAATAATACACCGGTGGAAGTATATATAGAGACGCTTATGCATGTACTTTAGATATATATCACTCGATCGATTGAATGTCTGCATATATTAGGTACATACAAGGTCGTCTCCAGCCGCCTGACTAGTGAGGACTCGGAGTTAGCGACCATTCTCGAATCAAGAACCTCTACTGTGCTTTATATATTGTAGGACCTCGCTTGTCACCAAACAACTAGATATTCTCGGGTTTGATACAACGTTCGGCCACCTCTAGGGTGCGGCAGTTCTTGAAGAAGACTAGGTAGCCCGGACAACTAGCCGTTTGTAGACTAGCTGCGCATTCTATAATCCTTCAGGTCGGCCTAAACGCACCGATCGCAATATCCGCCTGCACTGAACAGGGCCTCTCCATGAAGATCGAAGGCATCATGACGAATTGAAATGATGCCTGCCGACACAGCCGCACGATCGGCAGCCGAGATAACCAAAAGACCCTGTTTTGGCCCCAACAAGGAAAAATAATCTGCCAACCCTGAACCACCCTGCAACCTCGGCGGAGCATCTCATTTGTCCCTGAATGTAATTTAACACGGTCGCAATCCTTTGCGCTGTCAGTTTTCAGCCCCAGTCATGTCGGACGAAGAATAGGAAGAGGAGAATACCCCGTCTGCTTTGCTCCCTGCCCTACCTTTCTTTCTCATGGTCCGTTGTATAGATCGCCCGGGTCCTGCGTGAGAAGGATAACACTCGTTTTTGTTCCCATCTTGATTCGCTTGGCCCCGTGAAAAATATTTGAAAAACAATGCGATCATCTGTAATACTTGGCGTCTGTCGCCTGATCCTCCTTGCACCATTACTGTCCAGCACAACGTCTGCAGCGGATAACCGAACATGTTACATGGTCGACGAAAAGACAGTCGCCGTCGACGATGTGCCCTGCACCACGAAAGAGACCACCCACTGCTGTAACAAGAATGACATCTGCATGTCAAACGGCCTCTGTTGGGTCCAAAGTACCGGCAGTATGGTTTTATCACGAGGCAGTTGCACCGATATAAACTGGGATGGTGATTGCGTCGCGGCAAGACCATGTGGTACGCCTCAACCTGTTGCCTCCTCCTAAAACATGCATCATGCTAAATTGAAATGATCGAACATAGCCCGCTCGAATCCGTCATCCGGATACCCCGTTGTCAACGCCGATATCGCGAACCACCAGTTTTGCTGCGGCTCGGTCGTCAGCTCCTCCGCGTCTGATGGAATTAAGTGCTCGGGTGACGGGCCGTTCGTTGTCCCCACTGGTACCGTTATTCCGGGTGTCGCCGCATTGGCATCCGTGGCCTCGACATCTGCTCCTAGTTCTAGCGCCACTCATCCCGCTGGTAATAATAACGACACATCATCATCATCATCATCAGAGAAACCGGAGAAACCCAGCGACCAGTCAACAAAGCTTGCTATCGGGCTGGGACTTGGTCTCCCACTGGGTATCATTGCGGCCACTGCGTTGATTTGGGGTGCCTGGGAGAGAAAGAAGACCGTATCTGCCAGAAGGGAAATGGATCAGTTGAAGGCTGCGATGTACCAGAATTATCAGTACGCTCCGGTGCCACAAATGCAGGCTCCACCCCCGGTCGAGCTGGGCCATAACGAGCATACTGGTGCGGCGGAGTTGCCGCCTGGGGGCCACAACAAGTGATGAAAGTGGAAAGCCTGGGTTCACGCAAATTCGCAACTATACTTGATGATAGCGAGCTCTATGTTTTATAATGACACGCGCATTCTCAGTCGAGTCGTGTGTTGGAACACCGTCGGCACTGCCTGAGTCAAGGTCCATACAGCGCTTCCTGCGTATCGCGGTAGTGTAGAAAGAAAGAATTCTGCGATGCTTGGCCCCATCAGCCACAACAAAGGGAGTACCAGACGATTGTCTAGGCCATACTCATGATAGTGCTATCAGTAGGGGGTACTTGCTATAGAGTCGAATAGGCCGATCACTACCCAGGAGCGTATTTTCGCGCCTCGAGTAGTTTAACTGTTCACCACTCAGTCTTGTCACGTGTTCTTCTGGTGGAGTCCTGAACCATGATGTCCTTATACTTTCGATATAAAGGGTGACCTAAACGACTAAATCCGCATCTTCGGCGTTCTTGCACAATTGAACCAGTGTTGTGGCGCAGTCTACTCCGACTGCTGCCTTACTATGCCTCCTGAGCTCTCTTAGTCAGCGTACAGCTTATACATACCTCTCGTGCCAGGCTTTCTCTATACTTCCACAGAAATTTACCCACTATGTAGTTTCCTACAACGAAGACTAGTGTGACTTGAAAACGAAGGAGATTGCCGCAATGTCTATAATGTCTAAACAACAAGACCTCGATTCAACGCTCGGGTGTGATACACTCCGAATCAGCTCAGGGCTATGATGAGGTTTCTTATAACTTGGACCACGAGCCTATGGTCTACGAGACTCTCCGAGCCTATGCGACTTCAGCGAGCCAGAAGCGCGAGCGCCTGTTACCGAGAGTGCTGGTTCTGATTCTGTTATCTTACAAAGCGAAATAAGCAACTATGTTCTATAACAAGGAGGGTCCCTTTCTGACTTTACACGTCTGGATTCGGAATTATAGATAGAAAGTACTTCGATTTAGGCCTGGGATCGGGTGCGATAAAGGGGGAGTTTTGAGAATTTAGTCAGTGGTTCTCGGAGGTTCCGGAAGCTGGACAGAAATATAAGGTGGCGGAGAAGTGGTTGAAGTTTGAGAAGCCATACCCAAGGGAGATTTAAATGTAAAACGGGGGACAGGGTATGATTATGTAGTTTAGTTTTCCTTCGTTCCAGGAATCCAATTTCGGCCATGAAGTGCCGAGGGCAGCCTGGTATATAAACATATATCAAACGGCCGTGTCAAGAGAACCAATCCTGCAGTTGTAACTCTAGTCACTTACTAACATGATCAACACGCCCTTTTCTCTCGTCTCCTTCAACCCTTCACTAGTCAAGGGTGATACTCGGCGCCCTTAGGATGATTGGCATCGCTGAATTCGGTGCCATGCATCAAATGCTTTAGTGGTGTCTTGTACCTTTTCTCTGCGTGCCGCTCCAAGTCGTGTTCGTAGGGCCATGTTCCTGCCATGGGAACAGAAACTGGTCTACGGATTCTAGTATACTTAGTGTAGCATCTCAGCGGCTCCCGAATGGGACTGAACATGATCGTACCGAACGAAGTAAGGTTCTCCGGGTGGACGCCATGCTTACAACTGTGAGCAAACTGGAGCAGCCAAGCACCGCTACAAGGTCAGTTCAGGTCATGAGCAAATCACATACGGCTGCCCTAACTAGTAACTCGTCGTACCGGTGCCTACTCAATCGATGCCCATTACGAGATTCCATCCCGGCTAATCAAGACGAACTGCCGAGTCTGAATATAAGCCATTTGAAGGAACGTTCCATCCAGAAAAGGCTCGGTCGTATGTAAATGTCATTGATGAATAGGGTACGGACACGATAAAGTAGCGTACTGGGTCGTTGTACTGCCTATGTAGCGTCACCAGGGTATGCAATAAATCAGGTATTGCTTTGATTCGCGAATGAATTCAACCTGTCCTTATGGTACGGACATCTCTGCCTTCTGCCATTCACTTGGAAGACGGTGGCGTGGCTGGAATAAGGTACGCAATTCCTGTCCATTGGTGCTATAAGTGCTAGATAATACATTTGCCGTTTAACCGTTGGATAGATTAACTAGTGGGCGCAAACGGGACCTTTCGTAACCGAGACGTCGTCAATACTAGTATTGACAGAATCCTGGGACAGGTAATATAGGATAAGCAATATTACAAATACTGCACAATCAATAAGGTTAGAAACCCTCCGCGCCAATCCCCGCCAAGTCTCCGCGCTTCCACTCCACCCGGCAACCAAAGCGGAAAGTTTATCTCCGTGCCGCCGAAGTATTCCCCGGGTCGGAAACTTTAGGATCCGGGCTGGTTTCAGTAACTGTAGAAGTGGTATGTCATAGTCAATTAGTCAATCGCTTGCATGGAAAGGAATATATATAAAATGATTTCGTGGGCACTAAAGATACTTCAGTCTTTCATCTCAGAGCTGGTTACCGTTCTTGCAGCACTTCTTTTCTCGTCATACTTGGTTTATTTATTGCAGAAATGCCTTCTATGCCTCGCATCCTCCTTCTCGGAGCCACTGGGGAAACGGGTAGTTCTATTCTAGACGGCTTATTGGAAGCCAACAAATATGTGCATTATTGATGACCTGTTTGCAGAATGATCCGGATAACTGATGTCACTACAGAACCTGGAGGTTTTGGTCAGGCCAAGCTCTGTTAGAAAGGAAGCCGTTAAGGCCATCCAAGACCGTGGTGTTAAACTCCGTGTAACAGATCTCAGTGCATCTGAGGATGAACTTGCCTTGGTCTTGTCCGGCATTGACATCCTGATCAGTGCTATTTCCGGTTATGATCAGTTATCACAAAAGACCCTAATGAGGGCTGCCAAGATTGCGGGTATTCGACGTGTTGTTCCCTGTGCATATGGCACCATTGCTCCCCCACAAGGTGTAATGCTATTTCGTGATGAGGTACTGTCTATCTATTCATATCCACAGCAGGTGACACATGGTCTCCCCCATGACGAAGATCGCTAACTTGGTCTCACGAAAACCCCCAGAAAGAGGAGGTCTACAATGAAATTAAAAGACTAGCATTGCCATACACCATCATCGAAGTTGGATTCTGGCACCAACTTTCCTTTCCCCGAGTCTCTTCCGGGAGGCTTGATTATGCCGTCCTGCAGCAGGACTCCACCACTATCTATGGAGATGGAAATATGCCGAACATTCTCTCTGATCTCCGGGATGTCGGCCAGTACGTTTCACGGATAATTGACGATGATAGAACGTTGAACAAACACGTCTACGGGTGGAGTGATGTCTTGACAGCAAACGAAACCTTTGCTATAGTTGAAGAGCTTTCAGGCGAGATAATTGAGAAGGAATATGTATGTGGCGTGGAGCCCTTGTCCACCAAAGTGAAAGGTGTACGACCAACTAACAAGCTCGACGTATAGGTATCGTCCCAACAGCTTGAAGCAACCCTAGAGCGAGCCAGGGCAGAACATTCCAAGAACCCAAAAGACCCAACCAAGCGCTTGGACTTCTATATCTTACAGACCATGTACAGTAAGTATGTACGTGGAGACAACCAGCCTTCGTATGCAAAATACCTCGGATACTTGGATGCAAGGCAGCTATATCCGGATTTTAAGCCGATCTCCTTCCGTGACTTTCTCGCTGAAGCGTTCGAAGGCAAGGCTAAGCGGCCCTATGCCCAATTGACATCTGGAGCTTCTCTGCAGCATTGAGTAATGTAACCTTGGAAGGTATGCAAATGGGCGGGACTACACATGGTTTCGTTCGGTATCATAGAAGTGTAACTTACATTGGTTGACTATTGTCTGGGCAGTGAAAGTGTGGTTCCTACACAAAGCAGAAATATAATTAGAATTAGTCATAATTTTTGGCACAATAGTGGCACGAGGCCTAATTGGTTCTCGACTAGTTAAGCTACGGCGCCTTGCCCGTGCCCATTTTAGGTCATCAACCTTACGTTTACTTAACCCGTTCTCGAACTTTCTACTCTCTTAACATTCCAACCCACAGGCTGATGGGCCAGGTAGCCATGGACGACATCCGTTGCTCATCATTGATGCCATTCCAAATCCCTGCAGCCATGGCCTCCCGTATTCAACCATCTTCGCAGCGGAATCTTCGCCAATCATGTGACAAATGCCGTATGTCCACCAGTACCAGAGTCCTACTTCCACAAATACTATTGTGGACAATGCTCACTTCTAATTATAAAGGAACCCGAAAACAAACATGCACAAAGGAGTCTGGTGGCTGCTCACGCTGCAAAGGCTTAGGTATCCAATGTCGCTATTCTGCTCGGAAGCCCACTGGTCGTCCCCGAAAGACAATATCTCTTGTTTTCCGGGGTCCCAATGTGCCAAGTAGCAGTAGACCTCGTTTTGCTATGGATTATAATCATATCCTCCCGATTGATACAATCCTACATGAACCCACCAGCCTTCAATTTTTGGATGAAAACATTACACCCCATAGTACAAATTCCATTTCTAATTTCTGGGAAGCCGGACAAGCGACAATGCCACTCTCCAAAGATACAGACACCTGCAGCTGCCTTCCCCGTATCTACTATGATATTAGGACACTTCGCGCCCTTATAAAGGAGGCGGTTCCGAGTTTCAAAGTCGTCCGTACGGCTGTTAAAACCGCTCATGATGCTCTTAAGTGCACCTCTTGCTCGCGCTTAATGATGGTCTCCCAAGATCCTACGGAGAAGCTACGGGCTCTTTGCACCCTCATCTCGTTAATACCTAGCTTCTACCTCCAACTCCTGCAAATGATTGAATGTGAAGCTTCTCTCGCAGTAGCTGAAAACCGCCAACTTGCATTCATCCTCGAGGAAACCGGTGGTCTATGGGGTAATCTTACGGGCGATGGAAAATGCCGGGACGTGGAGAGGCTCAGGGAGCGACCCCTTGATCCAGAGTTGTGGCGCCAAACAATGCGCGCTCTCTTGAGGACCGACGTGTATGGCGTTGATCTGGACTTTTATCGTGGGGACTCTGGAAAGTCGATCAAAAGACAGCGGCATTCAGGGCTCACCGACATGGTTGGGATGCTGGATGAACTTACAACAAGGGGGCCTTTTAAACAAATGGGTGGCTGGCCTGTTCCAGAATCGAGTACCAATTTCACCTGTATGGAGTTGATAGCAGCCGCAAAGCGGAGTGTCAGCAAGCTCATAATAGTTTAGCTATGATCAGTTTATTGCACAAAATGTCCTACAATACAAAGATAATCTGGATATCTATTCACAATGTTATGTGTACAGGATTGGATTGTAAACTTAGCAGAACCTATCCGCGTATCATATCATCTTCCTTTAGGATTACCTGATAAAATACAATGATAATTTTCGCTATTCCATAGTAGAAGCTCACATCTATTGAATGAAAAGCAAAAGAGATAGATATAGAGCTGTATAGGGGGCAATAATACCGTTCGGTGTAGAGTTCAGAATGGAACCTTATAGGATACTACGTAAGATGCGAAGTGTAGTTTCCATAGCATATGGTAGTGATTGGATTGGTAGATATCTTTGATATGTGGTCAGTCAGAGCCTGAGTCTGTGACTCATTTCGATGGCAAAGAGGTTTCAGCATGTACACTATCCTGCACTGTTGTACCAGTCTGGCTCGGAAATGCAAGTGAGGAACTGACGCCTGCCGTACATGTCTCTGTGGAAGATCTCTAGGTTTAATTCTTGATATTGATCTATCCTGCACATGTTTATCCAAAAGTAATGTTTGCATATATAACCAGGGGCTGTTTCTATCTAGTCAAGCCGACATGGGTAGAAAAATAGCTTTAACTCGATCAGTGCCCTCATATAAGAAACCAGTGAAACAATTCTGTTACCAAAACAGATAGGTAAGCACACGGTAGATGGCGCAGACAGCTAACATGGGCGAGAGTCCAGTTTAATTTTCTTTTACGCAACACATCATATGGGATTGTATGCCTATGGTATTGTTGGTTGGGGACCATATAGATTTATAGAAATATGTAACGCGGGACACGTATACATATTACTATCTCTTGAAAGCTGCAAAGGAAAGATGAATTGGAAAGACCATCTAGCTATACGCTGCCAAATATCACTTCCACAAAATTACAGATTTCCTCAAGTTGTTGTGGCCCCATGGTCTGCCATTTCAGTATAACTTAGAAATAGATCTGGTATGCCTGAACCCTTGCTGACTGAAAGGCTCTATGCATGGAGACGGGCGGATCAATTATCATTAGGTGCCAGGGTGTACCAGCCGTCGCCTTATCATGCCATTATTTATATTCCCTACATTTAGTTGGCTCTCTGCTTGCAAAATGGGCTCAAGGATTTGTGTAGAGTGTGACAAACATTGCGCATCAACAACTTCATTATTCACCAATCGCGAATAGGATAATCTCCCTTATCGCAGTCCCGATCCCGATAACCAATTTCCCTGTCCGCCAGGGCGTGGAAATAGCCGCATAATTACATTCTCAAGATAGAAACCTCTCATTACTAAGACCCTAACTCCTAGCATATGATCAATCTGCATTGACCCACATAGTACACGACATGAAAGAATCCTTATCGAATAGCCTTTGCCAGCTATTTGGTCAAATTACGTCATATATCTGACTTTGCATCCCGTTCCCCAAATGGACAAGAGACTATCTCATATCTCGGTAAAGGCAAGGAGCAACTAAGGCTAGACACCTATGCAGACATAGTAATCAACCCACAAATTGCTACAGGCCGCATCAATCATCGTATTCCACGAGCGGAACTGAGCAAGTGTAATGCCCGCAGCCGTGTCGATCGAATAACAGTCATCACCCTTCTTCACGAGGTAATACTTCTTACAGTTGCTCACAATGCCGGGCATCCGCGGCTCGGGAGGGGTGTCCGTGGGCCCGGGTGGTTTACTCGTTGTGGTTGTCGTTGTATCATCCGGGACATGGACGCAAACGTAGTAGTCTAACCAGAGGTTGGAGCATGCTTGTATGAACAGGATTAGGAGTCAATCATAACAAGTCGCGTCTTGCATAAAGAAAACATACCGGAGTTAATACTGGGATTCCAGGCTTTGAATTGGGCGTCCGTTATGCCGTACTTGGCTTCAATGGTATCGCACTGATCACCGGCCGCGACGAGATGGAATTTGTCACAGTTGGATGGCACCCCCGGTTGGGTGGGTTCGTACTTTTTCGAGGACGTGGTGGTCGTGGCGAGGGTCGTGGCAGCGCTGGCAGACAGCAGCTGTAGGAGTAGCCCTAGGACAACGGTGGTCTTGTAACCCATCTTTATAATTGAGTCTTGGGGTCGCTTTATCAAAGGGGAATGGAAACGGAAGTTGGCTATACTGAGCGTGGTTGTTGCTCCTGCAGTGACCGGCCTGCTTTTATACCTATACCCTCACCTGCTCCTGCAGTATTTTTAGAAGTAACAAGTGATGTAACCGATACCCCGACTCACCGGTTATTCGATCATTGGAATGCATCCTGTGTATACCTGAGTGTGACAAAGCTGGAGGGATGTATGTCTCACTTGGGTACCAGGATCCCCGCTCCGACTCTACTAGATATGCCGCACCTAGATGGACATTCGTTCTACAACTGGTGCCACTCAGCATCAACAATGGCTTTCGCTCACTCAGGGTACTGGCGAGGTTTCTGATTTAAATGCGGGGTTCAGGTTACATGAAGACAATCTACCGCAGCCACATCCGTTTGCAAAGCCGGACACTGCTGCCGGATCAGCCGGGGCTTTAATGATTGGATGTCAGACGGCTTCCAGCATAGTGACATCGTGCCAGTCTTTGCTGCTGCCAAGAACCACTAAATGGGCGCCAAGATGCAGCCCATCCTGCAGCTTGTAGGTGTGTAAGTAGGTCCAAGGCGAAAAACCCCTCTCATGCGGATTTTAATTTACGTATGGCTCGTTGGCTGGCGCACAAAGAAAGAACTTCGCTTGAATACGAGCCCCTGCAAGGACCAGGAAACAGGTCACACGAAGAGGGCGGAGGCGTGCCATTCCAAATTCGCCGGTAACCATGCTCCCTGGACAGGTGGTACATGCGCCCCCGGGGGATGGCCTGATCCTAGGAAATGGCCAAATGCATTCCGGGACTGACTTCATGTAACCGATGGGATGACCTTGAGGGTGTAGGTACTGAAGGTAGGTATTAGGATGTAGGCATTGTACAACAAAGGCCGCCACTGTAGGACTTTGTCAGCCGGACTTTAAGACATTGAACGTCTGCGTGCGCGACTGGTGGCACAAACCGTTATCCGTTGCCGCTAAGAAATTAGACTGCGAAGTGCCATAGTCGGTAGTAAAGTCGAGCTACTAGCGGGATTCACCATAGCCATCAATTGCCAGCACATCCATCTCCAGGTCTTCGGAGCAGTAATGGTAGTTGAGGGTCTAAGTGAACTGTATGGATACCACACCCAAGGTGTAGGCCGCTACCTGTGCTATATATGTTCGACAGACTCACAAGTCCACCTCAATTGATATCCTCATAGACGCACACATTTTGCTGCTCGATGGTCTAAGTAAGACCTGGATCGATATTTCACTCGAGGCTGGGGCTGTAGAACACAAGATGACAGGGGTCAGCCCCGAGGTAGAGTAAGCGTCAAACTTCGGAAATATTAAGCCCACTTGCAACTATTTATGATTGCTTCAGTGTTGGAAGAATCCCTGCTGGTGATGAGAGGCATTTGCAAGTTGTCCAAGCTCATGATGACGGGGAAGACGGCGAAAGGGACGCCTTCGTGTCAAGAATCTAGTAACCATCTAGCAGGCACGGGAGCCGAGTACGACGCTGTTGATCTGTGCCATTGCCTGAATAGCACAACACCGGAATGCTCCAATGGTAATGGTGTGTAGCAAACAAAAGTACCATTACTCTGATGGCCAATGAACAACATCGTCTTTGTTGATACCTGTTATTTACTCTAAAAGATAAAGAGCTGCTCATAGACCATTGACATGTAACTGGCAGTGAGATGCAGCCGCTAATCTCGCCAGTTCCGGTGGCGAGGCTTGTCCTATATTCTTGCCCGATAGGATAGCCTTCCTGAGCGCCCACTGCAGCCAATTTCTGAATTCCACAACAATCGATGAATCGCCTCCAGTGAAGATAGTTGACTGGGGAGGGTCAATTTCCTGTAACGGAATGCCGCCATCTGCGACACCTTGTGAGATATCACAAGTTGGATTATGGCTGGAACCTCCTGGGTGGGTCGATCGATCGTGAACGCTTCAGAAAACTAACGAGTTATCTTTTCAAGGCGCCCCTCTCGGTCAGGATGGAACTTGCTCAACCAACCCGGTTTGTTGTACAGGAAATGTAGGTTTTGTTTCTGTGCCATATTGTTCCAGCTCCCTAAAGTCCACTGGAAATGATAGCTGACACGAGTACAGGAGCCCGGTGGTTTGCTAAAAACTGGCTGTTCACCCGTTGATTGGTCTATATGAAAACTGTGAAAAGAGAAAAACGCAGCTATGATTCAATTAGTATTCTGATCTGCTTAGGAGGGGAGGGAGATCCAAATGTCTCGGACTGAAATTGATTAAAAGTGTATGTTGAGCAGAAGCACTTGAGATGGTGATGATCATACAAAAACATGTCTTATGGTATGATGTACTCTCGTGAGGAGTTCTTGATTTGCTACTACTTCAATTTTGGGCAATCAGGTAGCAGACGTCCGGTTAATAACAGTTATATGATTATCTGCAAGTGGTTTAGTGCCTTGTATGACAGGAGACTACAATGAGGAAATCCTTTGGCTATGCCCAGAGTCGTGCAGAATGTCTAGGGCTTTGCAGTTCGAGTGATGATCGCTGCTATAATATTGTGGACTAGCTGCCGAACGCCCGACATTCGCCAATGGAAGTTCAAGCACAGATAGATCGAGCCCTCACCTTATTGAAGAGGTGTGGCCACATCTCAGCCATTGTACTTATAAGCCTCTCACAAGTTTCCGGATTATCGCGCGTCCGTTGGGCTACTTTCGCAGCTCTTGCAAATTGGAATAGCCATAAGATAGTCGCGCTGGCCACAATTGTGTCCCCAAGTATTGGACTGGAAATTATCATCACCCCTTCACTCAACTGAAGAATCCGAAACAGCCACCTCACATGGTACAGGGCCTTATCAACCTTTTGCTGAAGAAAGACACAGGACTGAGGGATATCCTTTTGTCATCGCAAGACAACGAGATGCAAGAACGGATGATTCAGGAGGGCCTGTGCAGCATGCCATAATATTTCTGTCGTCAGCCAAGGACGCCAATACTCGCTTTGCCGGCTGATCTCTGCCGAAGATCGATTTGCAAATGCGACATTGGCAAGCAAATGGCGGTTGCTCTGCTGGGCCTCGAACTCAATGAGCTCTATGCCCAGTTTTGTGTGGGTTGAGTCCGCCAACCATGGTTTCCGTTTGTCAACCTCACCCTGCGACAACTGATGTAGGTATAATCTGATTTTACCCCATATGGAAATAATGCGCAAGCAATACCCGTTGATTCCAATGTCTCTACCAGGAGCCTCGTCGATCATTTCCAGGGCCGGAACATTTGACGCGTTGCCTCTCGTGGTCTACAGAGGCTGGAGAAGAGAAACGCACCCTAGAAGGCCATAAAGATGATTTAAGTGACGTTCCATCATTTGGAAACGATCCGTGGTGGATATCTTTCTGCTGTCCTTGCATGAGCCCATATCTCTATAGTCAGATAGCCTTCTTGCCGGTAAAAGATTACCTTGCATCCACGGCGAGTTTCCTTCGCACACCATTATCAGGCGAGAACCCTCTGGGTAAATAAGCACATGGGATATTAAGACGCAGGCAGAACGAACAGCTTAGGCGTTCCGTCGAGCATTTAGTCTTCTTTCGGCTAGTTGATGGGTCAGATTACACTTTCCTACTCATCGTTGAAGTCCAGCTGAAGGGGTGAATGCGCTTACCGGCATGACTCACAGACTTGCCTTGTTAATGGCTCTGATGTGGCGCTGGCTGGGGGGATTACATCTCAGACATTCCAGACGGTCGTGATTAGTCGTATTGTTGGACAGTATGCCCACTGTGGTGTCAAAGATAAGTGGGGAAGGTTTTGACGGCCGGATGGAGAGGTATGTGCACGTGACCATATATACAAGGAAAACAACTGTCATTGGCTTCACACTGTGGCCGCATCTTACAAATTACTTCTACCTTGATCTTGGATAATAAAATGGTGTATACATTCTGCCACTGCTGTTTGAACGTCACAATTGGAGTAACTTGAAAGAATTTGTCGTCATAGCTTGTGATAACCTCACGACATTTATATATCTCCCGCTCTCACAAACGCCCCATCCAAATCGTGACATCTTCTCCACTTACTACTACTCCGTCGTTTCTACTTCACACCATGATACAAAAATTGTCCAACACATGTCGGAAAGCAAAGAAGAGAGAAAAGGGTCTATAGGTGTTGCAGGTATATTACTTGCGAGACTCTTTCCCTTGGCGCAGCCACACGCACAGTCAACGTCTACAGCCTACAATCGCGCCAAGGGAAAGCCCTAAACTACGTAAAAAATGGTCATTATCGCCCACGATTGAATTCTAGACGGTGCAGATAGCTATCGCCTCTGACTTAGGAACATATATCGACTTTGGTTAGAGTATTATTTGGAGTGGTCTTCGGACCGAGTTCGGGTTCAAAAACCTCAAACCCTCTCCGAACCCGAAGAGCAACGCGCTATCGAGAATTCTCGACTAAATACTCGAACCGTGGTGATTTTCAGCTTTAATGGAGCATAGTGTAACCAAATCAACCAGAGAATTGGTCATATAGAATATTGCATAAGAAGTAATCGTTTTAAGATAGTAGAACAGAAACTATTATGTACCAGGATTTAAATCTGCCGGGGAAAAGCCGTGCTAAGACCCTATATCGCTTGAAATGGACCTCCGGTCACGGAACTTCCGGCTTTTGTAGACCAACTGCCGCATCAACTCTAGTACTGTGGGGCCCAAGATTGTTCAAATTACTATTCGTTTATGAATTTCCTCCACGATCTTGAGACTTTCGAAATGGTCTATCTTATCAGTAATTGGATTTTTTTACGTCACAAAATCCTCCAATTCTGAAGATCCACTGAGAACCTGGGGTTGCCGACGGAGGAAGTTCATTACTCCGGAGTATGGGGCCGTAGGAATGAAATAAAATAGGGAATAAAAAAAACATAGTCTCCTCCCGTTTACGTTTTGTCGGTTCTTATCGCATTCAAGGATTTTCGAAAAGTATGGACAATATCCGCGGGAAGAAAGAAGATGTCGAAAGCCCAGCCAACATACTTCCACAGGTGGACGAAGGGGATCTTAAACCGGCAGTGACCGAAGATGCCGTATTCGGGGTTATTGAAGGGGACGGTCCGAATTATCGCAATGTATACTTGTGCCCTGTGGCGTCTTATTCTTTAATGAGACTGATCATTCTTAGCTAGGATGGGTAGGAACGTCAGTCCTTATGATGAAAACCCAGATCGGCTTGGGTGTCCTCTCTATCCCATCTGCATTTGATACATTGGGCCTGGTGCCTGGAGTGCTGTGCCTGGTCGCCATAGCCATCATCAACAGCTGGTGTAGTTATATGGTCGGCAGCTTTAAGCTCAACCATCGTGAAGTGTATGGTATTGATGACGCAGCTGGGCTCATGTTCGGCCCCGTGGGACGTGAGATCCTCGGAGCCGGATTCATCCTTTGTAAGTTGGCCATCTGTGTGAGCTCTTAAAATAATACTGACGGATGGCGTCTATAGACCTGACCTTTGTTGCTGCTTCCGGGATACTTGGCATCTCAATCGCTCTGAATGCGATTTCAACCCATGGAGCGTGCACCGCTATTTTCGTTGCTGTCGCTGCTATTGGGGTGTTCTGTCTTGCAATTGTGCGTACTCTGAGCCGCGTAACGGTTATTGCGTGGGGTGGGTTGGCATGTATTCTCATTGCCAGTAAGAATTCTTTTTTTGCCCCTCATGATCTACCATATTATCTCTAACATTTCCAGTCTTCATCGTGACCATCGCGGTCGGCGTAGAAGACCGCCCTTATGCTGCACCGCCAGGCCCGTGGGTTTCAGACTATCAGATTGTCAACAACCCCAGCTTCGCGAAGGGAATCTCGGCAATCTGTACACTTATCTTTGCCTACGCCGGCGTTCCATTCTTCTTTCCGATCATAGCCGAGATGCGTGAGCCTCGCCACTACACCAAGGCCTTGGCCGCCTGCCAAACCGTTGTCACCATCATCTATGTGACAATTGGGATCGTCGTGTACTATTACTGCGGATCCTACGTCGCCTCGCCTGCGCTTGGCTCCGCGGGAAAGTTGATTAAACAGATTGCCTACGGCATTTCTCTTCCAGGACTGTTCGCGAGTGCGACGATCTGCACTCATGTAAGGCACTACTATTTGTTAACCCCCCTGTCCCTAAAGTGAACAATTTCTCACATCTGTATAGCTTGCAAGCAAGCACTTCTTCGTGCGAATGCTGCGAGGGTCAAAACACCTGGTCGCAAATACACTTGTGCACTGGGGGACCTGGATAGGGTGCGTCCTGGGTGTCGTCGTCATCGCGTATATCGTTGCAAGTGCAATTCCCAATTTTGACAGCCTCATATCTTTTATTGGAGCGTTGCTTGGCACGTTACAAGGCTTCCAGCCGAGTGGTTGCATGTGGTTGTATGATAATTGGAGTCGGGGCAGAGGGCAGCGATCGCAGAGATGGACCCTGGGCGTTTGCTGGAGCGTCTTCGTTGTTGTCTGCGGCACATTCTTGATGGTGGCGGGCACATATGGCTCCGTAGTTGGGATTATCGACTCTTTCAGCACGAATGGTGGATCGGGTGTTTGGTCTTGCGCTGACAACTCCAACTCGGTGTAGAGGTACAGAACTACAAATAAGTCTCATTTCATTATGGTGGGCATTTGGTGCCAGCTCAGTACATTCCATTCTGTTCCAAGATATCTATCTAAGTACAGAGGGTCTTCATTGAGCACCTAGTACTCACTAAAATCGTATTCTCCCTCGTAATCCTCGGCATCAATTTCACCGTCAGAAAGCTCAACATCCTGAAGATCCTCTCCTTCATCCTCTTCGTCGCTAGTGAATCCGTATTGTTCTTTCCTGGGTTTTTTCTAAGTAGCAATGGTCTGCTTTCGAATTATATAAAGGGGTAGTTTTGACAAGGAGACACATCCATCCTGGGTAACCTCGACAGTTTGCCCAATAGAGCTAGCAGTATCCGTCACTCTATCCATCAGAATAAAGTGGATGAAAAAGGCCATTCCTGGCTGCGCAACAACGCTTTGGCCCCGGACAAACATGGGATAGTCCATCCACGTAGGAGCAAAAGATGTAAAGTTGGGGCTACAGGGACCAAACCACCCGACGCATCACAGCAGGGCTGGTTATAGCCACTAATTATGCACCATGACACAGTTATTACTAGCTTGTGCTACTTGATCTTAATGCCATCTATGAATTTATATATTTGGATGATATTGTACATAATACAGTGTTAGCAATTGAGAACCTAGCCAGGTCACCCCTTGTGTGAGCTATGCTTTATACCTAGTAGCGCTCTCCAACGGCAGTGTTATTTCCAATTATAGGGTTCTCACGTACGACTATTCTTCGCGGGATGAAATCAAATTCCCGAGCACTGGCTGTCGACTGCTACTTCTAAGATCTAACTGCAGGCAAAAGCTTGGGCGTGAAACGCCAATATTCAAACCCCCGCCCTGGCCATTCGAGTAGTTCGAGCGCCGTACACCAATATCATCCTTACGGCTGCCACTCCACTTCAATGAACCACATCGTGCTCTTGGGCGGCTGCCAGGCATTCAGGAACTTAAATCGGGGGTCGGCCACGTTGAATAGACCTTTCCAGTCATCCAAAGCCCTTTCACCGGTATTGGCCACCGCCAAACACAAAAGATCCATGCATCTCATGCTTCGATAATTCATCCATGGAACGGTACCGGGCTCGGGGATCACGCCGTCATTGATGACAACTTTTGCTCCTTTCTTAAGCACCGGAATCAATGACCGCAAAACCTGGATGGCATACTTGTCCGAAAATGCATGAAAGACCCAGCGGAAAAGGTAGACATCGCCTACGGCGGTCTGTGGTTTCAACAGGTCATGTACTTCAAGCCTCACTCGGGGCTTGAGATGCTGTGGCACCGCAGCCTTTGTCTCTTCTGTGATGGTGTGCTCTTGATCTTGAACTACAAAGTTGAGGTTGGGGTGTGCTTCCGCAATCGCCATCGAGGCAAAACCTGCACTGCCGCCACACTAAAGCGAGGATGTGAATATCAGAAACGAACCCCATTGGTTCTCACATGGCAAGTAGGACGATAGTACTCACGTCGACAACCGTTCCCTTACCAATGTCCGCCCATGGATAACCAGTCACGGTGTGCGAGAGATCAAAGCCCACCCCACCACCGTGTGCCTTCATGCTTTTGCTATATCGGTCGGCGACAACAGCATTGCGGGAAGTGTGATCGAACCAATTGATATTATGGTTATAGGCCACGTTAATCCCAGTCTCATTTGGCTCCCCACTCCCGGGCCATCGCTTCAGCGCTTCAACCGTGTAGGCAAAGCCAGGCCATATGTCATTACACAATAGACCTACCCAGGCATCCAAGGTTTCCTCCTCGAGAAGAACTCGCGACGCCCGGTTGTGCGCAACGAATCCAAGTTCCGGCTCGCAGAAGAAGCGGTTCGTGATAACGTGGCGGATGATCCGTCGGAGGGTGAACGGGGGTACAGAAACTCCACTCAATTGATGGCACTTCTCAGCCAGGTCTTCGTAAGAGATTTTGTCAGTCAATGGGACGGCCTGTGGGACCCTGAACGCCCAAATGGCCTGTAGGGACAATGGATCCATGGCCTACAAAGCGATATCAGTCATGGCTCGTTTTTCGTGTCTTTTAATTTTTATTTTGAATTCTTTTTGTTTCTCATCTGAATGAAACTTGGCCAAACTTACATCCCAGCAAATGTTTCGAATATGGTCCTTTGGTCCATGAGCAAGGGCATAGAGCTCTTTAGATGCAGCAATCAACTCTAGACGAGCTTCATACGCCTCTTTGTCGTCAGGCGAAATTGCATAGTCAGCTAGCCCGTCGACATCGAAAGAGGGAGGCTCCAGTCCCTTGGAAGCCAGGAAATCCGAGATGACTTTTGTCTTCTCTGCGATGACATTGGATAACACAATCAATCGATTTGGGGACGCCATCTTCGGACTTTTGGGTTGCAGTAATGAGCAGGATATTCGCCTTGGTATGTGCAGGAAGGTAGGTGAAAAGGGGATATGGTTATTTTAGCGATATTTTTATAGTCTTAGATCGAACTGAACTACGTTAAATGCCATCCTATAGCATGCTGGAATTCTATTCCCATTTTTCTACCTTCGCATTACCCCGCCATAGAAATGGGGCTCCTGAACGAAGGAGGGGCACGGATAACAACATGCGTCAGCGGGTACCTCGCCTGTACTATGGCGCGATTCTACTAGATATCGTATAGATCTAATCAATACCTCAATGTGTATCTGGTAGTACTTCACAGGGCCGCCACGTACTGTATGTATGTACGTACATACTTTTGTGCGCATAGCCTCCCAGCCTCGGCATGCTTCCTCCCCACCACTGCCATATGCGAACGTAGTGAACAACGCCTCGATGCTACCAAATTTAGAACTGAATTGGATTAAATTGTTTGATCTGGTCGAGCTAGCCCCATGCAGTGATGCTTGCAGCCAGATGACAGGAATAACATCCAAAATCAATTGTATTTACTGTGGTCAGGCCACGGGATCCCGGTCAAGGAATAGTGATAGATAGACAGTTGTTCGTCCAGTTGACGTGGGGTAGCCCTAGCCAGGGTAGGTATCTCTGTTCTACGGTTCAGGACAGTGGGAATGTATTTAAGCAGCACATCCCTTGAGTCGATTCTAGCTCCAGACCAGCGGTCGCACGGCCGACGATCAGCGCTACCGAGGTAGGGGCAACTCCATAGATCAAACTCCCCATGTCACGAACAACAATCACCAGCAAGAATGCGATCTTCTGCCTACCAAGGAGACATGCCTCGCCCCCTTCTTCTTGTTGTTACTCAATCAGGCGATGAAAGCGAATGTCAGGCTTACAAGGGGTTTGAAAGCCCGCAGCAATCAGGAACAAGGCCGATCCGTAATAAGTCATGTCTCCAAGACTTTAGAAGTCATCGGTAATACGTGGAATACCCGTCGCAATAACGGTCGAAGGAACATGATCAGCACTTTCCTCTTCTACCATCTTGAATCGCAATGGTATAGCGACAAACCCGGGGCTGAGAGAGTTGGAATTTTATTGTGACACCTTTCAACATACCTTATGAGAGAACAGACTTAAGGGGGTAATTGAAAAGGGGAAGCAGCATGCAATCCATGTTGTCCTTGATACCCTTGTTAGGCTATCGGAGTTAGGAGATAAGAGAGAAAGACGGCGAGCTTGCATGCTCAAGGCTCAAGGAGATAAGCTCATCAAGGGTCCTTTACGGTTTATCAGTGGATCACGGGCGCGGTGGAGTCCAGAGGCATCAGCTTAACGCCGTGCAATGTCCGGTCCATGTTGGCTGCTCTTCATATTCATGTCTTATGTCCATACATTCAGCCGTTTGGACCTCCCACAATCCCTCTGATGACCAACTACTCAATTCTCGTGGAATGAGTATGAGTGACACTGGTGCTAGTTGCTCCCTCGTAAAAAATTCATCCAAGGTGATTACAAACAGTCACGGTGACAATCATGAGTTAGAATCGAGCAAATATAGCCGAAACCGGGACTTTGATTGGCGAAATGGAGTAGCGGGAGGGGTTGCAGGCTGCGCCGTGAGTCTTCCCTTCTCATGACTCAGAAACCATTCCTGACGCAACAGATATCTAGGCTAAGACTATTGTTGCTCCATTGGAGAGAATCAAGATTCTCTTTCAAACGTCGAATCCGCATTTCCTGCGTTACTCAACCCGGTGGAATGGGTTAATCGATGCTGCGAGTCACATTCGAACGTCGCATGGCATACCTGCACTCTTCAAAGGTCATTCAGCGAGCCTGATCCGCGTTTTTCCCTATGCCGGTATCAACTTTCTCGCATACGAACAACTCCAACGGGCAGTCATCATATCACCGGAGACAGACACACCGTTCCATCGATTCCTCTGCGGGAGTACAGCGGGTGCCATTTCTACCATCATCACATATCCCCTAGAGCTGATCCGCATCCGTCTTGCTTTTGAAACAAAACCGAGCAAAAGGTCATTTTGGTTCAGGATTGCTCGACAAATTTACCTTGAACGGGGCGGGAAAGGTAGCATTTTCAACCTTTATCAAGGAATTGGCCCGACTATGCTAGGCATACTTCCCTATGCGGGCACATCATTTGTAACCCACGATTTCATGAGAGATCAGCTGCGCTCACCGTTCTTTGCGCCTTACACGCTTGAAAAGGGATCATCCACTCGACTGACCGCAGTTGCACAGCTTGGTTGCGGAGCAATCGCTGGCATTGTTGCTCAAACGGTAGCTTACCCAATTGATATCTTACGGCGGCGAATGCAAGTCGGGAGTGTGGTTGGTAGTAGTTCAGGAATTTCCGAGACAGCCCGGCGCGTAATGCGGGAGAAAGGTGTTAGAGGTTTCTATGTGGGCCTGACAATTGGCTACGTGAAAATGGCCCCAATGGTGGCGATGAGTTTCTATGTCTACGATCGAATGAAGCGATTGCTGGGCCTTATCGAATAAAGATACTATTGCTTTTCTACTGGTTCAACAGAATGTTGATGCTCACTGTGCACCGCCGATTTCTTCACAGGTCGACACCAATATCTACGATTCAAAATTGGGATTGCAACGAGCCAATTGATGTGGCACCAAAATCCGCGTACCGCTTTCGCGTTCATACGCAGAAAGATGCAACCGTTTGAAGTATGAACTGTGACCACACGAGACCTATTTTTACACATTTTTCTCCTCGGAGGTTTGGGGAGAGAGGGGCAGGACCTGGTACGACTAGAGCATTACTTCAATACATTCAGGCAAGGGACGGATGCTACTACCAGAGACTTCACCACAGTTAATCATTAACTCGACGGTCATACAGGCATCGATAGTGCTCAAAAAAGATAGTGAATATACTCGCCCACCTCGATACTACCTGCGTATTGGTGAATCGATATTCAGGGTTCCTATCTTGCTCTGCCACGAGCCCCTATATGCAGACACCGAGCATCCATTGCGCGTTTCAAATCAGTATGATGGCATTGTGCTTTTCCAGAGAAGGGAGCAATATTCTCCACATCCATACTATTATGCTAGTCCAGCCCTGTAGTAAGAATATGAATGAACGTTTTGGATCCATTTGGATGGGATACGACGAGTTGAATTAGCTAGACAAGTCATAAAAGAAAATCGTCGTCTGCTAAAGCCTGGCTGAGTCTGGCTTTCCGGTACATTCTGGGGCTTTATATAACGGTATTCAAGGCAAAAGGCTATGGAAATGTGCGGTATTCTGTAATCGGCCGAACTTCTTCATTGCTTCGAAGAAAACTTCCTTTCTTCTAGCAACATCTTGTATATAAACCCAGACCTGGTTCAGTAAAACCACAGAACATCGAACTTTGAACCTGAGAATCACTCCGTGTTTTCTCCTGCTCTTGGAGAGCCTTTAATTGTTTTACCATGCCCATACCGAGTGGCTAAGCCTGTAATCCAATCTACCACCTTCTCAGGCGCACTAGCTATAGGAATATGTCCCGTGGGAATCACCGTCACATCCACCTCCCTCCCAGTTTCTCTTTCAATGATCTCGATTTGCTTTTTCTGCACTCCTGGAGGGATCACCTTATCATCCGCGCAGAGCAAATACGAAACTGGTACATCCGTATACCCAGCATACGTCAATGGACCGGTAAAACTCGCAGCCGAGTGTCGGGGGGACCGCTTCATCCACGCCTCGCCTTCCTCGGCCGGGAGGTCTGAGAAGCATAGTGCAGCGGACGCGGCGTGATTAGCCATGACCAGATATCCATGTTCCTATGATATTCGTAAACAATCGATCAACAGGAGAAAGAAAATACCCCAGAAAGCCAAATGAAAGTATCAATGGGGGTGGGGGACGGGACGCACATCAGGTTGTAATTCAACACGATTTTCAGCCGGAACATCCGCCAACATGTCCGCCGCCGAAGCACCCAATTGTGGCACCAGCGCCGTCAGATATGCCAGGTTTACAACTCCGCCGACCTTCTCGCTACCCGCTATCTTGGCTAGTCCCTTGATGCTCTCGCTGGCAGGCACCCCTCCATATGAGTGAGCCACCAAGATCACCTCCTTTCCTTGGTCGACTAGCGTCGTGACTTCGCGCGCAATCGCTGCGGCGTCATCGTACATTGTTGCAGGTTGTTGCAGGTCCTCGGTGCTGCGAAGACGAATGGCTTTGATGTCGTAGCCCTTGGATGCTACTCCGTCGGCCACCGCGTCATAGAACTCCGGTAGGCTGAATGAGCCGGGGACAATGACAATAGAGGGTTTAGATTGGGACATGGTTCAATTATGGACTGGTACTGCCGTATCAAATGAGATAGGTCTAACTTCGGAGGATTAAGCGGGCTGAGGCTGACGTAGCATTGATGATAAACTTATGGTCTGGGAGGAGACATGGTCAGTATTTAAATCAATTGCTTAACTGCATAACCTGCCTAGCATCATCGATCCGTTGTGATTTGAAATCCGACCGGATGCATTATAAATACAAACTTACGGCTAGATAGCACGCCATTTAGAACATCAATACCGACCCAATCAAAACGCTCGTGCATACCTTTAGCAGCAGCACTAGGACATCAATCAGTTGGATCTTGGTTTGGACCGCAATGAACCTGCTTCGTGTTGAGAACTTCTCGGCCCATATCCAGCGCACAGAACGGGAAACAGCATGAACGACGGGCTATTCATCTACGTAGTTATCAGGCGTCTGAAAGACAAGCAGAGTGGTACGCACGTTATGGTGACAGGAACCGGTACTGTGGAGCTAATTTAGATAGGAGACCGGTGCAATGGGGCCAAAAAGCATGAACACACGAACTTCCTGAAAAGCTGCCTTGGCTTTTTATATTTTCAACTCAATATGGGTGCTCAACTCTAGCCATGACTTCTATGATCCGACAATAACACATCTATTGGTCGATTTCCTTTCTAATTTGGGCTGTATGCTAACCTCTCCTGATAAAGAGGTATGTATATTTCTGACTATTCGCATGTATCATACTAGTCAATCGGGACATAAGGCAACATCTAAGAAGACAGCAAATGATTTCAACCAAGTATCCAGGGCTTACTTGGCTAAGTCATGTAATCCAAGCTCTTCACGTAGTTTAACCAACAGAAACAAGGAATGGAAGCTGAGCCCCTAGTACCCTGGGTGGAAATAAGGATGATATGCGTGGCCGGTTGAGGTATGCCAAGGTGTCGGTAAAATAAGATAGTATTGCACCATACCTAACGAAGCCTAGCCAATATCGATGGATCCACTTTTATTTATCGGTTGTGATATGTAACTACGACTCTGTGAATCTTCATAATTACTCTTCGCAAGGCTTAACATCATACTCTACGTCCGTCCGGATAATATATTTCGCACCCTTCCTTACCCCAGTCCCCTCATGTAACAAGGCCCCATTGGCCTCTCCGTGCGGGAAGATCGCCACGGCTCCCATGACAGGTCGCACTGGGTATGCATTGAGGGTTCCCTCTCGCGCAGCTGGCATAAAGAACGTCGTCTCCCCGCCCTCGAACTCGTCGTTCAAATATAGTAGGAATGTGTACATAGAGCTCTGCTTCTTGTCTTCCGGTGAGGCATCGTACACGTACGTGTCATCGGGGAGGATACCGGACGGCGGCCACGCTCCATCAATGTGGCAGCGGTACTCGGCACCGGGGACGTATCGATATACACGGAAGCGTCGATTGATACCTCGGGCTAGGCGGCCATTAATCGACTGAGGTACGTAACGGGACATGCGCGCCCAGAGCATGTCATGGAAAGTGGTGTCGACAACCCAATAGAAGTTGTGGGCTAGGATGCTCATGTCGCCATCTTCGCGGAGGGGCGCATCGGGTAGAAAATTGACCGATTCACCTGCCGCAATAATAGCCTTGCACTCGGCGGGGGAGAGGACATTTAGGGCAAGGCCAAGGCCTGGCACAGCGGGATGTGGGTGGTATGTGATGGAGGGGCCGACGGGAGCCAAGGGGACGGCGTTCGGGGCGGAGGTGTAGAGGATGGCAGGATGGTGGTTGGGAGGTTTGCGGAGGGGGCCGGGGGTTGTTTCGATGACGCGGAGGGCAGATGGTGACTTGGGTGCGTCGGCTAGGATGGATTTGTCCAGGACGGAGGCGTAGACCGGGAGTGGTGTCGTCGAGGGCCGGAGGTCCCAGATGGACTGGAAGGCAATGGGAGAGGTGGAGTCGACGGCGTTGGGGTTGGTATCAATCGGAGTGCTGACACGCAGGATGGCGTCGAGCACGCGGAGAAGTTGTAGGTCCTTTGCGCTGCGTTCCAGGGGAACACGATCAATTGCGTCGGGTTGCGTTGAGAGACCGCTGACGACGTCCAGATCCCGCACCCAGCGACACAGGGCCCCGATCTTGGGTTGTTCGCCCCGAATTCTCATCTCGGCAAGCAGGATCTGGGCGTCAATATACTTCTCGTCGGCAAGAGCACCGGTGATTCGTGCCGTTAAGTTTGCGCCCTCTATCGAACCGTTAGCTGCTGCTATTAATTAGCGATAACGCAGCAGCATACCAGCAGCGTTGACGCCCGTAGTGCAGGCCTGACGGAAGTCATAGACCGCGGCTCGCAGGTCCTTGCATGCCTTCGACTTGGTCAGGCTCGGGTATTGTGCGAGAGCCGTAAGTGTCTCGATCGTGATTTCGAGGTCTTCGTCGGGGACAACCGTTTTGAGGTGCTTGGGCTCGCCATCGGGAGGCGGTGTCAGAGTAGGAGCGGCCTTTGGGACTTTTTGTGGGAGGTCGGCTTGCGCATTACGCTTGCGCTTGGCAGCCTTGGATTTGGCCATGGTTATCTGTGGTATGGTTAACAGATAATTGACTGATACGAGTGGGGGTTTGGAGGTTAGACTTAACGTTTGTGGGCGCATTCCGTCCCCTGCAAAATTCCTGATTTGCCCCCACACAATTTCTTTTTCCTAAAATCTCGTACACTAGCCTCAAAATGGACTAGTGGAGTGTACCACAACTGGTAAGGTGTCGTGTTAATAGTTGTACTTCTATTCCCAGCCCTAATAACCTCCGTTTGGCAAATGCTTCTCTTTACCTACCGTAGCTCATCTGCCCCAGAAAATGTCCAAAACCACTACTGCATGCAAGTTATATCAAAATACGTGTCAATAGCGTATGTGAAGTGGTCCAGCCAAATAGGGTTCGCGCATTTCTACGCTATTCCTTTCCGAGATTATCCCATGGTCAATCTTGTACGGCATCGGGAGTGCCTTGTGAGATCACTTACATTGTGTACGGGTTTACCGTCCTCATTGAACCTACCATTGGAGAAAATAGACTATCATCTCTCTCCCGATGGCCTCATACACCATATGAGTTCACAATCTCCTTCATTACCACCTGACTAGCTTTTGTTGGGGGGGGGGACCAACGTCGGCAGATGCATTTCAATGGCCAGGAATCTATGGGCTATTTTATTTCTAGATGGGTAAGTTCTCTTGACTCAGATTCAATCGAGCAGTTTGGGGTTTTTTCTTCGCCAACCCCCGTCATAAATGAAGCAGTTTTGTGAATGCCAAGACTAGCGGGTGATGCAAAAATGGGGCTTAGGCGGTATGCCTTGGTGGCCAGCAAGTGGCAAGATACTTAGTACTAGGAGACGTGAGATGTTCATGGTTCTATATCATCTTGTGTTGGAATTGAAACCGAATGAATTACTTAGAGGCCTCAGGCCCTCTCCACGTGCAGGGTCTATCTATCCAGTACTGCTCGGCTGGCAGTAGCGGGGTAATCGGTGCCTCAGGCAATCACAATGACACCAAGAAGAAGCAGCCCATTTACTAGTGACCCTGAGGGGCTTCTCTGCCACCTATAGCTTGTGCTTCACCCATTGTTGAGATAACCGTAATGACTATCATTATCCCGGCAGGTAGCGATTAGCTTAGAGATAGACTGAAGGCAATATAATGTCTACTTACGCAGATATTTTCCATGCTCAAAATCTTCCTGAATCATTTTTCCTAGGTCACCACCGGGGAGTTTTACGTCGTCTTTCGGTACCCCATCTTGTGCCATTAGATTGAGGAACCCATCGTCAATATTCACCTACCCGCCTTAGTATATATACATACAATAAGCCATGGTAATAGCTGAGAAGACTTACCAACTGATATTCAGATATCTTTACATGAGGAACATCCACAGACTGAGTAGATGGAAAATCACCCGAGAGAGCGCTACCGGTAAAAATATCTTCACCAACTAGATGAATACTAGTTCTAGTGTTGTTGATTTCGACAATGCGACAGGGCCTCCCATGGATTAGAACATGACCCTTTCGTCTTAGGGCCGAAATTGGCGCTCGAAAGCTCGGCGAGTCTTGTGGCTGGCTTTGCTCAAAGTTTTGATAATGCTCCTCGTCGTCCTGTATGAGATCAGTTCTGATTGCCTCGTCGCAGTAACTATTAACAAGAAAATATAGGAATATGGATATCATGTACACTCATGGTGGAAATATCGTAGATTCGATACCGGCTTAAACTGAGGAAAGTCTGTTTTGATAGAAGAAAGGAGATGATTCAACCATCATCGATACATATATATATCTATGATGCTCGACTTCGATCCACCATCGTCTTGCATCCAATGATGCAAGTCAACGTGTCCATTATGCGGTCAGACCTTCGGCAGATCTGTGAGTTTGTTTTGTGGGGGGTATTGTTCCGGCGATAATACCAATGTTGGCGCCACCGCCCACTTTTGGCTGCGACTCGGAATTTACTGCAAGTGCTTCCCGCATATCGGTGTTTTTATATGAGAGTGATCGAGATTTATACTCCGTTTAGCCGAGTTGTGTATATACATACATGAAGTGGGACTGCCAGAGGGGCCCTTCCTTGTCGATACGAATTGTACCCTGCCACTTTTCGAATGCAGATTCCACATCGATTCGCACATGACCCAGTCGTGCATGATAGTGGGGAAATTGGGTACAGTAAAACCCCGCTAGAAGCAACTAATTCAGCAAGCCATTCAGACTGCTTATATCGGGGTTGCCGATAGAGCGCTTTTACTGTATTTGTTGTTATACAGAGGTATGTAGGATGCGAAGAGGCCGTGTGGGACCCTGTGGAGCAGTTCGCTGAAAAGACCATGAGTGGAACTATCAGCACCCCACTGGGACCCGGGCGGTCCTATTGTATTTTGTATCCAGCTGGCAAGATTCGTGAAGCAGCAGTTGCCGATACTGCTTAAGGCAATCCAGCGTATAGCATGCCATTCCAGAAGGGCGTTGTCGGAGATTCCTAACATCAGGTAGACTAGAGAATAAACATCAAAAGCTAAAACTGAACTATGACCGATATATCGCGTACGACTCCACAATTTCGAAACAATCGCAAAGGTTTTCACTTTGCCGTATGAACTTCTATAACCTGTCACCTCTACGCTAGTTGGCCTTTCATACAGGCAGGACAACTTTAACCCCCATATACTCCCGCTGATGCATGACCTTGCCATCAATCAGCACTTGATGAGCCCCCACTCTATTATTTACCGTATCCGTCGGGTCTGTACATGTCGCAATTTGGATCTCGCGCCACTGGCGATTGGTGGGCACAAGCCTGCCCTGCGACGTGAGCTTCTTGAACTCCTTATAAACTCCTTGCTCCTCGACGCAGCCCTCTCGTTGGATCAGTTTTGATTCTGATAAGAGTCGTTAGTCTAGATCGCTCCCAGTAATGTCTCCCTTAGACGGTTATTCACTCACCCTCTGCCGGAGCCATACGCAAATCACCAATGGAACTATTAAACAGCACCAGCGAAAGACGCTCTTCGTGCAACTGGTCTGCGGGTGGCCTGAAGACACGGTGGCGAGTCGCCTTGAAATGTCCGCCCGAGACAATCTCCATTGTATCTCCGATGTTAATAACAAGCGCGCCGGGCTTGTAGGGCACATAATACCATTGTTCGTCGCGGCCCCAGATCTGGAGACATGAGATAGGGACCGAGAACAACAATGTTGTCAAACCAAAGTCTGTGTGGCCGTGCATGCGAAGGCCCTTGGATGCTTCTTGGGTTTGTTTCTGGACGGGTCGAAAGAGCGCATGACGGAAGTAGCCTTCGCCGGTTGGGCTGCCGTGGGATTGTACATTGTTCCAGAGATAGTCGTCCGGCAACTCTAGGACGCGCGACAGGACGGTGAGGAGTCGTCGATTGACGGACTTGGTGAGATAATTGCTGAACGCCTCTATCTCGTCCATGAACGGGTGCAGGCAGGTTGGCACGCGGTTGATATCTTCCCAATCGGGCTTGTACCAGTTGAATTGTTCGATGCCGTCGGGTGCTCCGCGGTGACGCTGGGGAATAGGGACAAAAGGTTAACATACGGTTGAGTGTTTAACACGTACAGGGCTGATGGCCTCCTACCTTGAATCCGTAGGGGTGCTTGTAACCGGACCATTTCCCGCTGTCGGGGTGGAAAAGGAGCCGTTCTTTGTCCTCCTCGCTGATGTTATTGTATAGGTATTGTGCCAGGGCGAATTGGCGATGGAGCTATTGGACGTATGAGAGTCAGGACTACTCTTCTTCTCTCCATAGCTTGTCATGCCTACCTGTTCTAGAGAGACTCCATAGTTCTCGAGAAACAAAAAGCCGTCATCACGGATGGCCACTTTGACCTGCTGGACAAGGTCATCGACCACAGCTGAGTCATCTGAGTCCAGCAGTGAAAGGTCAATCGACTTGAGCTCGGCGAAGTTGTGCTTTTCCTTGGTGACAGGAGGCGGAACCCATTCTGGAACGAAAGGTTTGCCAGGAAGGTTGGCGGATGGTGGGTTGAAGGGGGCTGCGGGTGCCATGATGTGGTATGTGCAATGATATCTATGTGTTGATTGATGTTGGATAGAATGACTAGATGAGGCTTTCCACTTGAAGTTTTATAATTTCTTCTATTTTATATGATGGCGGAGGTCTACAAGTACTACCTGAAGTCATACAATGTGCATCAGGCGAGCTTCTAGGCGAAGCAGGAGCGCAAGTATGGGTCTTGGCTGACCCGCTACTGCACTGCATGGTGCCTCCACCGGCATTTTCAATAGAACATGTGCTCCTGGCAGCATTCCGATGATTTCATACCCGATAAGCTGCGCTCTCCGCCTTATCGAGCTCCTCCCGAAGCTGATCTATACTATATTGTCGCCAAAGATAAGCTCAGATATTCGGCTGCGGGGCGCGTGATGCGGGAGGAGCTCCTCCCAACTAGGGCTGGAGGAGCTTCGGCGGGAGGTCCACTCGTCGGCGTTATCGCGATGGACAGGAAGAGAGGAGAACCGATGTGGAATTTTAAAACAGTGGTTTCCACCACTTACTCCTGTATTATCGCATCTCAAAAGTCATAGCACAATCATCTATACATCCACTTCTCATCACTCTACACACAATCACTGTTCTTCCTTATTCCGTGATCCTGAGCAAACATGTCCCGTCAACTCATCTCCAGCGAAAAGTTTCCTCCCAAGCCTCATAATTGTGGGTGATATTGTATGGCTTTGGCCAAAGAATACGCCGTTTGCTGATCAATCTATCACACAGGCCCCGCTGTCAAAGTCCCGGGTCTCGTCTTCTGCGCAGGCCAAACAGCTACCGGCGAGATTAAACAAGCAACGGTGAGTCTCTCCTGTAAAAGTGAGCCTTGTCTGTAACAAAAAAACTAATTCTGACATGAATCCCCACAGAGAACCGTCTTACAGAATCTTAAAGAAGTCCTCGAGCTTTCTGGATCATCGCTTGAACAAGTAGTCAAGTACAACGTCTATCTCGCCGATATGAAGGACTTTGCTGCAATGAATGAGGTGTACATCGATTTCCTCCCTAAGCCGATGCCATCTCGCTCGTGCCTCCAGGCGCTCCCTCCAGGTGATGGCACGGTCATTGAGATTGAATGCATTGCGCAGGTTTGAGACGATTCATATAGAGGGCTTCGATAGAATATATAGTACACTTATTCATACTACGCTTTTTATCATAAGTTAACTCCTCTGTATTTTCTTCTCTAGCTATCACAGTCGCTCCTCGCCATTATGAGGAGTCCAATGGCTTAGTTGGCCAGATGGCGCACTCGTCACAGTAAAGTTTCAGACAAATATATCTATGGCCCCATGTGCCCCTTGGAAAGACTGTACAAATCCTTATTTCATATATAAATGACAGGCCATCCACTGCTGTGTTACTTATTCTGATGATTATGAGGTGGTGATTGGATCCTGTCCCATGGACGATGGCCTACAGAGATTGGCTTAGGGAAGGAGACAGTTGACGAGGAACTTGGCATCATAAGTGCAAGTATCGTTTAATATTATTTGATCCCAAATATCCATGTGCGACAAAGGAGAATCCAACCTCGAACACAAAATACATACGAACGTACACCGGTTTGCAACGCTAGGCGATATCTTGGAGCTAAAATGGGGTATGGGTATAATGTCAGATTCGCTGTCTAGTCTATAAGCCTTGAATCATTACAGATATCAATGTCCTCTCGAACACCTCATGACCGAGCAATTTCAAATTCCGAAATATACCAATTCTGAATCGCCTTGGTATCACCCGTAATGGCGACAGTGTCATATCGCTCTCTGGCCTCCTTGGCCATGGTACCATTGTTAACCATCCGCCCAGCCCACTTTCCATGCTTGCGTGCCGCCGCGATAATCTTGTCAACAGCAGCGACAAACTCCGGCTCATCTCCACGGGCGGGCACATATCCGAGAAGCGACTGTGCAAGGTCATTAGGACCAATGAAAACGAGGTCCACACCGGGCACAGCACAGATTGCATCAACATTTTCAACACCTTCACGGGTCTCTATTTGAATCATAGTCAAGATAGTTTCGTTGGCAGAGACCATATATTCCGGGGTGGTGAGACCATGGCCGATAGCCGGGAAGGCGGAGCCTTGGCCACGCACCCCCTGTGGAGGAAACTTAGAGGAGGCGACGATTTGTTGTGCTTCTTCGGCGTTGTTGATCTGTGGGACCATGATGCCATGGGCCCCTGTGTCTAGAGCGCGTTTGATAATATCATGGGCAGGACCGCGGATGCGGATAATAGGCGATACTCCCAGCGCTGAAATGGCAGACACGGAGTTGTGCATGGAATCGTCGCCAATGTGGCCATGCTCGCAGTCAATGATGATACCGTCAACACCCGTTAAGGCGACGATCTGGGCCATGCGAACTGAGGGAATGGCCATGAAGGTCATTAATGGGTATTCTCCCACTCGGATTTTGTTCAGCAGCCTCAGACGAGAGTTCACGATCTCGGTCGTCTGGGGGGTGGGGTAGGTCTTTGTTGGCGCGGGCATTTTGTTAAGTGTTGGTGAGGAGGGTTTGATAACGAGAGTGATTATGAGAATCACCGCTGGTGGAGTGGTGATAATGTGTCTTTAATAAGTGTGCTCTATCACTAGGTTTATCTTGAAGTATGTGCTCGGCTCATCTCCGGTGGCGGATTGGGAGGAGCTCCTCAAATGCCGTTTTCCACTCCTCCCGATACGACCCACTCGGCTTCAATGTACCCCGGATTCGAACCAAACGTCTAATTGTCTGGGCAATGTTTCCAATTGGACTGATATCTTTGGTGCTATTCCCCTCTTTCTTTATCTATGCTGCCCCACTATCGATCCGTCCGCGAATCATTTGACTCACAGATACTTGAACAGCCGTTCTGTTCAATAGCCGCTGGATGGCCTTGACCAGAACATACTGGTAACAACCACTCCTGAAGTCTTTATTATGGAGGCGAGCCTTGGGAGGAGCCCTCCTTTCTGATATATTGTCACTCAAACACAGACAAGCTGCCTGCAGCCGGTCCCAAACATTAGAAACTGCTGTTGTCGAGCACAAAAGACTCCTTGACCTTGATACCTATCGCAGCGATGGCTACAGACATGGACACCAAAAAAAGGCCGCTGTCAGTGAAAAGCGATGACAACATCTCCGCTGCCGAAGGGCAACTCGATGTCCCAGACGCGGCATATCGCCGGATGCCAGAGAGCCTTCGCAACTTCAGCGGGGACGAAATCAGCGCCCTCAACAGCAAGATCGTCCGAAAGGTTGACTTTCTTGTACTCCCCACCATTGGAATCCTGTACATTTTGAACTATATTGACCGCCAGAACTTGGCCGCAGCTAAACTCCAAGGGATCATGGAAGATCTAAATATGACCACCCAACAGTTTGCCACCGCAGTTTCGATCCTTTTCGTTGGCTACTTGCCCTTCCAGATTCCGAGCAACCTCATCATAACCAAGATCTCCCGGCCGGGCATGTACATCTGCGTTGCTGTCGTGATCTGGGGCGGCATCTCCGCTGCAACGGCCGCAGTAAAGACGTACGGCCAGTTGCTTGCTGTACGAGCTATTCTCGGAGCGGCAGAGGCAGTCTTCTTCCCGGGTGCAATTTACTACCTGTCTGCCTGGTACACAAAAAAAGAACTTGGGAAGCGTATTGCGGGACTATACATCGCCCAACAAGTTGGCAATGCCTTCGGCGGGCTCTTCGCAGCAGCCATCCTCCAGCTCGATGGTACCCACAACATCGCCGGCTGGCAATGGCTCTTCATCATCGAGGGCAGCGCAACAGTCGGCATCGGGGCGGTATGCTCCCTCATCATGCCTGAGTTCCCACACAACAGCCGCATCCTGTCCCAAATCGAACGGGACCTAGCCGTATGGCGCATCGAGTCGGAAGCCGGCGCTGCAGAAGGCACAGAGAACGAAAGCGTACTACGCGGCTTCAAGAAAGCCCTTTCCGACCCCAAACTATTGCTCCTCATCTTTGCAAACATGCTCTCTCAAACGCAAGGCTCTATTGCCAATTACTTCCCTACGCTCGTCGCATCCCTCAACTTCAACAATACCGTCAGTCTGCTCCTCACTGCACCGCCTTATATCCTCGCCGGCGCAGTCTACTATGTCCTCATGTACTACTCCGACCGGAAGAATACCGTCTACCCAATCATTCAACTCTGCGTGTCCATCGCAATCGTCATGTACATTATCCCCATGGCAACACTCAATGTCGGCGCTCGCTACTTCTCCATGGTCATTCTACCCTTTGCCTCCGTCGGCCCGCAACTCCTCCTCTACAAGACGATCAATCTGCATCTGGCGCGACCAGTCTCCAAACGTGCGGCTGCGTCTGCCCTGGTCAATGCTATTGGCGGAACATCGAATATCTGGGCTTCGTATTTATACTACGAGCCGCCGCAATTCTATGCCGCTTTCGGGACTCTGATGGCGAGTGCTGTTTTGCTGGCAGTCACGATGACTGTTTACCGGTGGCTGGTCTTGCGGGAGAACAAACGCTTGGATTCCGGTGAGCCGGAGGAGATTGCGAAGGTTGTTCGGGGTGGTGTTACGGAGGAGATGGTGCAGCTTAATTGGCGTTATGAGATGTATTGATTTGTTGTATGCTGCTTTACAATCTATAGGAATCTCTGGACGTGGAAAGTCAAGCATAAATAATTTAGCTTTGAGGCACGACCGAAACATACAATTATATCATACTATACCAGTAATGGTAATAACTACAATATTAAACCCCCTCTCACCTCAACAATAGAGAAGTAAATGAAAGAGTGAAGTAAATCCACCTCAACTTCCCAACCCATCCAAACAAGACAATATAAGCCTCCCAAGCTGCCATCTCTGTCTCCGTCCAAAGACCTTCCTTGCCCATCCCAATGCCCCCTCCACATCCCCATCCTGAATGCCAGCAACAAGCATCGCGTTCGGAATGCCTCCCCGTACAAGCTGCCAAGCAATCAAAAACGCCTTGTATGCATACACCGCCACCCACGGTGCCTCCATATCCGGTTCCAAAGTCGTATCCAGATACCGGAGGAACCAGTCAACATGCGGCTGGATCGCCTTGGCCGTGTCGGCCTCCCACAGGAACTCATACGAAGGAGCGAGAGAAGTCGACTGACTCACCACAGCATCCAGACTCGCTGCCACAATACCGCCCGTATGAGCTGGAGACCATAAATGAAGTTCGATCATGGCTGTTTCCCAGGTTGCTGTCGCGTGCATTCCCTTTACGGTCTCGGGTTGTGAACGGATAAATGGGCCCAGGGCGATTAGCGATGACCGGAGAGCATCGAGCCGGTCCATGCTCAACATTCCGGTCATGGTGGACCAGCCGGATACTTCCCTGGCGCTGGAGATGAGGAATTGCGCGATGTTAATGGCCCCGTAAGGGTCAAATGTAGGGATAGAGTCCGGGCTCGCATCCGAGGATAGAAACCGGCGGACGGCGTCTGGGTACGGGACTGTCGGTCCGGGGTTTCTCATGACGAGATGTCGGTGCGCCCATTCCGCGGCGGAGGGTGCTGCCCATTGCGCTTCGGAGCAAGGGAGGTCATGCTTGACTTCTAAATGGGAGATAGAGCGGGGTATGGATAGGAATTGGTACCATAGGGCGTCGATCTGGTGCACGGCGAAAGAAGTTCGTTTGTGTGACTCGGCTTTGATGAATTCTCGCCATAGCGCCTCTAGGTCTTCGGTTGAGGAGGACTCGGTTGGCATTGGTTGCATGAGGCCTCCTGCTCGCGCGAGAGATATCATGTTGGAATGCATCTTGAGGCCGGATGCAGAGTCGTGTCCACAGAGGTACATCATGGCGCATATTTGTAAAAGTAGATAAGACTGGATGAGGGAGGTGCTTTTTCTTGGGTTTTCGGTTCTACATTCCTCAGCGGTAGTGAAAGCACGAGCTTGATGAAAGCAACGAGTGGATAGGCTTGCGCCTGAGCCGGCTTGATCGCCACGGTCTGGGTCTTCGCCATGTTGATAACCGAGGGAAATAATACTGAGCAGCAGGTGTAGAGGGATATGTGTGGCGTCGAATGTTGGTTGGTGCAGAAAAGGGAGAAAGTGCGAAACATGTTTGAAGAACAGGTCACAACCCTGTGTAATCTGTGTAGGTGAGGGTAACCAATCGCCCTGGTCATTCGACGGTGACAAGCCAGGGCTACCTTGGCCAAATTGGCACCCAACCAGATTGGTGTCAAATGAAGCAGGCTGTGGTATGATGGCAGATGGCAATTGGTCGTCAATTTCGTAGGTCGGCTTGAGAAAAGACGTCCCCAGTAGCAGGCTCCGTTCCAATTCTATCGCATCTTGCACCATTCGGCCCATACAATCTGACTCATTCATTGAGGGCCCTTGTACAGATGAACCTGCTACGACTTGGTCCCTATGTCTTTCGGCTGTTGCCGATCCGCTAGTTCGAATAGTTGACCTTTCTACATCGTGTCCAGGGGAGAGTGGATCCTGCGCATGCGGTAACGGCATATTCCAAATCCCCGCACCCACCTCAAGCTCACATTCATCACCCGAATTCTGCGGGTGAAAGCCATCTTGGCTGTCTGGAGACGATTCAGAAGACAGATACGCATCATGTCGTTCCGGTCTCCGTCTGCCGTTCACTTGCTTAGATGGGAGAGGCTCACGCAGCGATCGTTTAGTGGTCCGTCTTTGCTCATATTCCGGATGCTTTCTCTTCATATGTCGGTGTCGCAGATCCGGGCGCGAGAAAGTAGTTTGGCAAAAGTCACAGGGCAGGGAGGCCTCCTCCTGTGAGCGGGAATGGAGCTTGGCATGTCTCTTGAGGTTCTCATGTCGGGTAAAGCGACTTTGGCAGACATGACACTGGTATGGTTGATACGATGGGATCCGTCTGTTGGCGTGGGAGACAGACATTATATTATACAGAAGCAATAGAGGCCTTCTTATGGCGTGACTGCGTCCGTTTGTTTGTCGAGATGTACAGGCGGAGAAAATCCCCACATACTAGTATCGTTTTCCCCGCACGGCCAAGCATCAGCTACTGTCCGGTTATCTACTCTGTTGTCCTGCTTGCATATCTGTCATATCGGAATAGATAAGGCTCTTGTATGTAGGGTCTATTATCTCTTATCAGGTCTCGGTGGTTATCTCGGCGCCTTTCCATGATATACGATTGCCACTCCCTGGGAATTGATCACGGAAGAGCGAAGCAGCTGGTGGGATGCGGCACAACTCTCCTTCCACAAGAAAAAAATAAATAAAAAGACGTTCAAGATTTTTACTCCTATCAAGTTCTGAATAGTACTCATTCTGTGTAGCAGCAGAGAGAATAGAGTAGCTTAATGAAAGGATTGCAAGTGCCACTTATTTGCGGCTAGAATGCACCTACACAAGGGGGATAGTAGGGCTATGACACGCCACAACCCCAGGCGATACATGATGGCCAATGACGAGCGCCATACGTTGGTCTGAGCCGTTACTCGACATATGTCGTAGACACCGCAATCGCTGACATTAGAGACCGGTACGTAGTATCACGAGCCTTCCGAGGCTCCAAAATGAAAAGAGGAAGTTCGGGAGCGAGTGGGGCATGTAGCAGGGTTTTGGTAAATTAGTATTAAGGGTCGCGGTCGCTGAAAATGCGGGCCGGGTCAACAATCTCCCCGACTCCCAAAGTGCGTACCAATGATTTCGGGAAACGGAGGATGATCTCGAGTTTATTTAGTGTAGGACTTGGATCATTTCAATATTGAAGTGTCCAATTGATGGAGGGATCCCACATGATCTTCACCGTTAGAATAAGAACCCGAGAGAACATTTGCCACATTCAAATATATAAACGATCAATAAGGGTGAGGTAGACATCTGAATTCTACTAATATATATTTTACCCAACTAGTACGACAGTAACACAACGCCTGTTTTCGGTTTTTCCTCGACATTATACTGAACACTAAAGACTATCCCAAGCGCCTAATACCTTCGAGAGATGGCAGCATTCCTAGGAGCGAATCTAAACCCTTGTAATTATATTGGGGGTGTGAGCTTCAATCCCGATCGAGACATCCCAGATCTATCCGGAAAGGTGGCGTTGGTGACCGGAGGTATGTCAGACGTCACTTCAAGGGACTAGCACAACGGACTAATTTAATGTAGGAAATGCTGGACTGGGCAAAGAAACCATCCTTCAATTGGCCAAACATCGACCACAAAGGATATATCTTGCTGCACGGTCGGAGACGAAAGCACAGGCCGCCATCAGCTCCTTAAGAGGGTCACTATCCAATAATGTTGAGATCACCTGGCTCCCTCTGGACTTAATGTCCATTAAATCAATTCAGACTGCGGCACAAACAGTCAATGCAGAATCACCACGGCTCGACATCTTGATACTCAATGCTGGTGTAATGTCTCTACCGCCAGGAGAGACAGAGATGGGCCATGAGATCCAGCTCGGTACCAACCATACCGGACATTTTCTCCTCACGAAGCTGTTACTGCCAACCTTGCTCAAGACAGCAGAGCAGCCCAATTCAGATGTGCGGGTTGTATCCCTCTCATCGATCGGACATAATCTGGCCCCGTCATTCGAGACTATCCTCGATCAGGACCGATTGAAGAAGGTGAACACCAATACTCGATATGGAGCTTCCAAAGCAGCAAATATTCTATTCGCAGCTGAGCTTGCACGGCGGTATCCTTCAATTACTTCTGTTTCCGTTCACCCTGGAATTATTCTCACAGATCTCTACAGCTCGGTGAGCGAGCGTTCCACCCTGGCTGCATTGGGCTCAAAGACGCTGAGCTTGTTCGGAACACCGGTCCCCCAGGGGGCCTATAATGAGCTATGGGCCGCGGCTGGTGCCAAAAAGCAAGACCTCATCAATGGAAGTTATTATATTCCGGTGGGACACTTGAAGCCCTATAACCAATATGCTCGGAGCGAGGATATGGGAAGACGCCTGTGGGACTGGACGGAGTCTGAGTTACGGAAGTTCAATGCCTTACCTTGAGTTGTCATACTCTTTTTAGCATTATCCATTTTCTTTTTACATTTTCGAACCTAGTTTTGCTGCGAGATCCGAGATGTACATATATTTGCTCCGTTCGAGAGATAAAAGATTGCTACCTTTCCTTCTTGGTAGAACGAAAGTCGGAGTTTCAGTAAATCCGATGTTTTGGGCCTCGGCAGATTTATGGATCAGACTAACTACATGTAGATCAGCTTCCGAGAGGCATTCATGTTGAACTTGCGTACCTGCTTTGGTATCTTCTTTACCTACTTAATATCCATAAATTTAAACTTGGATAAAAGTGCAATGGAAATTTCTAAACCCATGAGAAGACTATTATTAGCTACTTTATTAAATAATATTTAGCTTGTAATTATTAAAGCTTTCAGAGTTAGTCTTTTATATTATGAATACTTTACCCTACTAGGCACGTATGTCTACTTGAATTAGAACTGATCTATACTGTTTTTTTATACATCAAGCACTCCTGTAAACGGTAATGATATTGCACACTGATTCGAAAGGTCTCTCAAAAGCAAAAAAACAAAAAAAGAAAGAAAGAAAGAAAGACCTCCACATCACAAAGAAATTTCTGCTTTCCGTCGTCTAATGTTGATTTTGATGTTTGCGTGAGGTAATATGTTATGGCCACGCAGCTGAATACAACCTTCCTCAGGCAATATCACATTGAAATCATACTTCAATAGAACATGGCATAGTAGTATTTTGCCAAAGATGGCCGCGTAGTGCCTTCCAGGACATGCCTGTTTCCCGTGTCCAAAGCCCATGTGGTCTGAACTCGTGGAAGTAAGTTGAAAGGGGCTTGTCAGAGAATTCTTCGCGTTTTTACGCAGGGTTGCAAATCGGTAGCCGTCATATTTGTCTCCATCCGGCCAAACTGAGGAGTCCATCATATGACATGCGGACACCATAATCGCAGTTCCCTTCGGGATAATTAATCCATCAGGTAGGACTACTCTCTCTTTTGCAACTCGCTCCATGTTGCCTATAGCGCCATAGTTAGTTAATGAATGGGTCCTTGCCTGAACATGCATCGTGAGATCACTTACTATACCCGAGGGGTCTAAGTCTTTGGCTTTCCTTCATTGCACTGTCCAAAAGAAATAACCTTTGTAGAGATGATTTGGTTAATCCCGCCTCTCCAACAACTTCAATGATTTCTTTGCGAATGTCATCCACCAGGGTCGGATTAGTGGAGAGGTCACAGATAGTCTTAACAAGCAGGTCGTTGGATGTATCAAGTGAAGCAAGCGCAAGTGTGAGCTGCAATGTAGTAAAGTCATATGCGGAGCCTTTGCTTGCCTCCTTAACCCAGCTAATCGCAGTCATCTCTGCATCAGGGCCATCCGCTTTGTCAAGCAACGGCTCAAGGTATTTTATGACCTTTTGGAGCTCTTCCCGAACCTTTCGACAGCTTGGCATAAACCGAGAAGCAAGAAGCCTCAAGGGCATTGGCCATCGGCGCAAATGATGAGCGGCAATAAATGAATCTTCCAGGAAGTCATATATACAGTTCAGCCAGGCTGGGTTCCGACACAGGTCAACATCACCAAGAAATCCTCGAGTTACCATTTGTGCCACAATTTGACTCATCGTCTGTTTCAGGTTGACTTGATGCCATTCTGCTTTAAAGTCAGAAACATTCCGCGGGTATATCCCAAGATCCTGGGCACTAAGCTTTTCGTACCGGATTCCTCAGTCCAGTTCGTCTGCAGGGCCCAACTAGCCTCTGTGGAAAGTGGGCTGACAAGCTTGGCTTTGGGTTCAAGAGCGTTATTCAAATGCTATTGCTGAAAGCCTGTCGGCAATAGTCAATCCACTTACGAGTCTGGCGTGATAGCTTTGTTTTGACAGTGGTCTGTAAAATCTTGGATTCCAAGGCGATGTTTGCGAGTGGCTCAAATCCTGGGATTCCTGCATGGAAGTCCTACAAGTTGGTGGGTTAATTAATCCCTAGCACTCAATTTCTGCATTGTAAATCGAAAATACTAACCTCACCTACGAACACCCCCAAGTCAAATCTGTTATCACCTCCAATTACATCGGCATATTTCGGGCTCAGAATCAAGCGGAAGTGTGCCTCTGTGCACAAATAAAACGCGTCTCCGCCCTATTGTCAAAGTGTCACTCCCATTCTGTACGAGTAGCAATCGCATGAACGAAACTATACGCACATTCTTCAACCCATGTCTTATCCATCCCTCTGGATCAGCAATGTACCGTGCCGTTGCTTTGCCATAGCCGAACTCGAACCATTTTCGATCATTGAAAACTGGCAGTTTGGATGGATTCGGTATTCTCTTACTGATCTCAACGAACAACACAGCTATAATAACCACTCCCACAACAACATTTGCAGTGATGGAGTCAAGGTGAAACCAGTTAATAGCCATCTTTTCACCCTCCTGTGTTTTGGAAGACCAGCCTTTACTGTTCAAATATTCGAGGGGACACTGGAAGGGAGGGCTTGTGGAGGTCCTGCGATTTTAAGTTCGGCTTACATTTCCCCCTTACTTCAAAAAGTCTTTGTCTCCGATTGGAGGATGGCATTCCTCGATAGATTACACGTTTGTATTACTAGCAGCTCTATAGACATGCGTCTGCATATGCCCCATCGCGCCATATTGCTAAAATACGGTGTGTTAGGGACATCGGTTCGACCCTATTTTCCACTTCTCCCACCGTCTATATCCCTAGAACTGTATGGAATAAGGCTGCAGGGGGGTGGAGCATAGAAGGAAGGATAGCCGAACCCACTTGTGAAGTATCGAACTTTTCATCTTTTAGGCTGGGGCGATATTTGACCAGTTAGATCGTCAAGATGTGGTTAGATTTTCCCGAATCCACCCGAAAGTTGAATAATGTGGAAGAAATTCTTCGCACCCCTGCAACGTACAGGAGAGAATAGTAGATATAATTATACAAATATAGAGTAGGTAAACGTCGGTGTGAAAATAGCCCGGTCAACTGTTCTTCATTTTCTTTTAATTATACGATAGAAGCTGTACTTACTGGAATGAAGCCCTCCCGCATTAATTCAAAGAAACTGGTACAGCTGAGAACCTATCTAAAAACCTATTAATTTGATATATACGGAATGATTCTACGGCTCCACAGTGGAGTTCAGATCGCCCGCATTTTCAATAAGCCCCACGTCCACAGCTAGCCACGATCTGGTACGTACTTGACCGTATTCGTAAGCTGGTATGTTGGTTATCATTGTTTTCCAGACTAGGATGATCACCGACGATCCTTTGATATGTTGGCTAGGTAGGTTTCCAGGTCCACTTTTAGCCCATCACACAACCTAATATCTAAACAGCGGTGAGAGTTCAGTCTACAGAGTATGGAGTATGATTTGAACCTATACTTGAGCCTATCTTTGATCTTCAGTGGCAAATTAATCGTATGTAGGCCTACCCACGTGGCCATAGTTAATGCAAACTAGGTGCTGGCTTATAAATTCTATTAGTGGCACACTTGGACCGTAAGGGGCCAAAGCTGATTGTAGGGCTAGGGTGGTGCTTGGTGGGCTTGGTAATGGTTGTATCAGGGTTTCTTAAGCTTGAACTTTTGACTTGGAAGCAGACACGATCGTCGGAAACTTACCACTTTACATTTCAATCGCCTGCAGTTGGTACTCGAAAGTATGGACATCTGAGCACTCCCTAATTCAGAGACACAGAACATCTCAATATGGGTTCCAATGGGCCAGAAGGAAAGCCAGATGACGGACTATCCGAGATCATGTTGGAGGCAGAGTCGTTCTTGACGAAATTGCTCACGATTAATCCTCCAGTCCCGTCCGACCCTATTGTTCGAAAGCTTAATACCCATGAGATACAACACATGCAACATGAGGTTATGCCCGATGACCATCCTCGAGATCTTCCATCCGTCCTTCAAGAAGCTATGGCAGTCTTCGATAACCGGATGCGCCTCACCCACCCACATTGCTTCTCCTATATACCAGCTTGCCCAACTCCCCTTGCCTATCTAGGTGATCTCCTCACTTCTATCTGCAACGTAAATGCTGCTAGTTGGGATGTGAGCTCTGGTCCAAGTGCGGTTGAAAAAGCCATGATAGCCTGGCTGGGTGCCCAGCTGGGACTGCCAGACTCAGTTGGAGGGTGCTTTGTTTCGGGTGGCTCTATGGCAAACATGGCAGCTATAATTGCAGCCCGAGATGAGGTTCTTCAGCCTAGGCAGCGAGGAGATGCGGTCATCTACATTTCTGACCAGACCCATATCTCTATTCTTAAAGCGCTACATATAACTGGCTTCATGGATTATCAAGTCCACAAGATACCCACCGATGATGAATTTCGCATAGATGTGGACATCTTACGACGGGCTATCATTACAGACCGCGAATCCGGACGTGTACCCTTTCTTCTTGTCGCCAATTGTGGCAGCACCAACACAGGGAGCATCGACCCTCTCCATGCACTCGCTGATCTTGCACGAGATGAAGGCATATGGCTACATGTGGATGGTGCATATGGTGCTTCCATCGCGCTCTCCGACACGCATCGCGATCTCATTGATGGGATCGGTCGCGCGGATAGTGTTTCTTGGGATGGGCATAAATGGCTCTTCCAAACATATGGCTGTGGAATCGTGCTCACGCGTGACGTTCGTTCTCTTAGGCGCAGCTTCGCCGTGGATGCCGAGTATATCAGCAGTACATTGGCACCACGGGACAACACCAATTTTTACAACCTTGGTCCAGAACTCAGCCGGCCAGCGCGTGCCATGTCTCTTTGGCTCACCCTTAGAACCCTAGGTCGTCAGCGTATGGGTGAAATGATCGACCAAGGTTTCCTTCTTGCCCGTACGGCCGATGATAATATCCGTCAGTACAAGAACTGGATTATTCCTGCTCCAACAGTTGCTAGCATTGTGGTTTTTCGATACGCACCTCCTGGGTTTGACGAAGAAGAGTTAGACATATTAAACAAGGCGATTTCACAGCGACTCTTGTCGGAGAATATTGCTGCTATACTCACCACCAAGATTCGCGGACGGACCACACTTCGAATGTGTGCCATGAACCCCCTGGTGAAGCCAGAAACTATCGAGGATCTTATACGCCAGGTTGATATCTTGGCCCAATCTGAGGCTTCTAGGAGACACAAGACTTATTCAAAGATGGCTAAAATGCTTCATACGCATTGTCAAGAACGCCCTGGTCTTGATGTTTTTCAAGACGATCATTGAGGCCTGTCCTGGGCGAGGATGGGAGCATTATAGATACTGGGGCTTTAGATAAGATTCGCGTTTTCACATATTCACTACTATTAATACTTCTATAGACATAAGGGATGGACTATTCAATTTTAATGATCTCTGTTACTAGATTCAATATCTCGAAATGAACCATGTACGTTGCTCTTCGGGAGTCATCTTTTGCACAACATCCACTTCGCATCTCTTAACATCAAGATACGTTGACACCAGAGTTTCACTCAGAATCTGCTTGAGACCTTCATTTGCCTCCAAATTCTTTAGACTTTCGGCCAGGTCACCAGGCATCTTAGTGCTAATGCCCAACGCAGATCGTTCCTCGTCTGACATCTTGTTAGGCTCGGAAGGACAAGGGCCTGCTCCCAGGATCGAGCCTTGCAGTAAACCATCTAGTCCAGCTGCTAGCAATGCACAGAGTCCCAGATAAGGATTGGCTAGTCCGTCCATCATCTTAACTTCAAATCGCTCATTAGTAATTCGTCGCATGATCGTCTCTCTGTTTTCCCATCCCCAGCAGACATAGTCCCCCCCACTCCCGATGCCTCCCACGACTCGGTCGTAACTGATTTCCTGGGGAAGCGTAAAAGCAGAAATGGAAGTAAAATGGTCGAGGATACCAGCGAAAAATGATTCCACTGTCGATAGATCCGCTTTTTCAGAATTGAGGGATATATGGACATGGGAACCGGTGCCGGGCTGTTCAGATGATAATCGGGGATGAAGGGTCGCTCTATATCCGTGCTTGCTCGCAACTTTCATAAGTACGTGTCGAGCAAGGACTAGAGAATCGACAGCTTTCAGTGGGGAGCCTGGGGGAAGAACAATTTCCCATTGACCAGGACCTAATTCCCCATGAAATTGTTGGACCATAATTCCAATGTTCTGCAGGGCGAGTACGGCTTCCTCCAGAACACCAAGTAGAAGCTCGTCTTCACGAGTCATACTGCACCATGAATGATCAACATTCACTGTTTCATACTCGATTCGTCCGTTGGGGAGTGTGCGTTCTCGTAAGAGAGAGAACTCTAGCTCGAATCCGACCAGGACTGAGCAGGTTGACTTCTGTTCAATCAAATGCGTCAGAGCATCTAACTTCGAGCGTGCACATTCTTCCATCGGCGTTTTTTCTTTGTCGGTCCACGAGCACATGACAATTGCCTTATTTGAATCAAAGTAGGGGGAAAGGGATCGCGGATCAGGTTGTAGACAGAATGACCCCGTAAGGGTCCCACCATCTGCCACATTGTCGTGAGGGAGAACATGAAGTATGACTTTCGGAACCGAGATTCCTTGGCCAGTCTCCAACAATCGCTTGAACTCTGGCACAGGAACCACGCGGACCAGATTGGTGCCAATGTATGTTGTGAAAAACACCCAAACGAAGTCTATGCCTTGGGTATTGGCGCGAAACTGCTGCCACTGAGCCAAAGCTGTTGCTTTTGTCATGTTGATCGGCGCAATGGACAAAAAGGACACCCAATGTCTAGAAAATATGATTGTCATGTCAGGTATTTCTAGTTCGAGTTATTTATCATGGCTCCACCCCTGGAATCCCTCTAGAATTCCTCTGGCATTATTCTGGAATCGCCAAACTCAATATTTTTGTTTTTCCTAATCATAGGATGCCGGTGGGTATTGGGCCCACAGACCACGTACTAGTCATCGATGGTATATACCAAGGTGGGTCTATGAGATCGTCTGAACTATTTTACCAAAGAATTGAGGAGCTGAATCTCACCGACATTCCCTTGGTCCATGATCGACAAATAGCTCTGGAGATCGATCGATCATTTCCCCTCGCTTCCTGGTCCTGCACGTGTCTGGTTAGACTGCAGCTGAATTACACCGACGTTTTCGGTGTACTTCTTCGATACGAAACTAATCGCTCAATAACTACTCCGTACGTGATGATATTTCTTAGATTATGGGGTTAGGTGAAAACTCGGCAAAAGCCCCACATGACTTGTAGATAGCTTCGTTCTCTCTCTCCTACCGTGGGAATGCGACTTGTTTCCCCTCCCCCTGTGCTTTTTTTGTTGACTCCGTAGATCGTCCTCTTGCTCTTCGAAGTCTTCGCTTCAGAATTTCCGAGGATTGAACGTCTGCTCTAGCCTTATCAATAGGCAAAATTGTTTCGCCCACTCATTCACTTTCCTTTCTCTCTGACCTTCAGCACATTTGGTGAACAGTACGCAGTATGACCGTCACGCATGTAAACGATAATATGGCGGTGCAAGGAGCAAATACCCTACAATTTGAGCTCCTGAACAAGTATATGAGCTGTTCAGATGAGAGCCAAAGAGAATGGTGGCAAAGAACTGGGCCTTTACTGGCCAGCTTGATGAGTTCGGCGGGCTATACCAATCAATCCCAGTGGCAGTATCTGATGTTCTTTTACACATCCGTCGTCCCATATCTAGGACCATACCCTCAGACCTTCCCCAGCGCCATGACCCACAACGAACTTCCTTTGGAACTCAGCATCAACTTTCAACAGTTAGGTGGCAAGAGACCAGTTGTTCGAGTGGCGGTGGAGCCTATCACCTCCGTTTCTGGAACGAAGGAGGACCCGTATAATCTGAGCCCTATCCGTGACTTTCTTACTCGTCTGGGGAAGCTCAATCCCGAAGGATATGATGATCGTCTATTTGAGCACTTTTATCCCAAGCATACCTTGAATGAAACCGAATGCCAACAGCTGCAAGCTAAGAATGAGGCAATACGCGAACTTTCTCAAGTGGCTTTTGGCTTTGACCTTAAGCCCGACGGCATCTCCGTTAAGGGATACACTTTTCCGGGCGTGAAGTGCCATGCGGCAGGCACAGACTTGTGTTCTGTTGTGATCGGATCCGTCCAAGAGTATCTGGGAGATGCGGACAGTTACAATACATTGGGCTTGATCAAAGACTATATTGAGACGACGGATTCAAGGGCCAACTTCGGATTTGTCTACTCACATGATTGTGTCACACCGGAAAAGTCCCGCCACAAGTTGTATGGCCGTACCAAAGACATGTCCTGGAGCCAGGTTGAGGAAATCTGGACTCTGGGTGGACGTATTGATTCGCCCGAGTCTAACAGAGGCCTTGAATACCTCCAGAAATTGTGGTCAATGCTGCAGATTGGCAATGATCCCCATCCGCTTGGTCTTCATTTGGTGTGGAACTATGAAACAAAGGCCGGACTTGAAGTACCGGCTGCCAAGATCTACTTCCCTCTTTACGGTCTTAATGACCTCGACAATGTGCGTGCTATCGCCCAATATCTCACGCACATTGGACTCAACGCTCAAGGGGACGCCTATGTGCAAGATGTACGAAGTTGTTTGTAAGTTTCTCCATTCAATTTTGCCACAGGATATGTCATGAAACTAATTGAACAAGTCCTGGGCTTGATATAAAACAAACAGACCGCCTAATATGCTGGGTGTCATTCGCGTATTCAGAGAAGACGGGGGTGTATCTAAGCGCTTACTATCACTCTTCACTTGAGTACCCTTTCCTTGAGAAGAAGGCTTAAACTCTCAATAACTCTTAGAACAAAGTCGCGCCTTGTATTGCTATAGGTATCCTATTGCTGTGCATTATATGGTGCCATCCAAAACCATTCGGATATAACTCAGATATGCACTGAGAAAGCCTTTCGTTTCTTATTGATCATACGCCTTTTCTCAAAGCCTGAGATAGCGACCTTAAAAAAACCCAGCAATTAATTAGATAATAAAATAATAAAGGGCGCAGAAAGAATACATATATATAATAGAGAGGGCTTCCAGATGGCCATATGTGTGCTATATAAAACCGTTTAACAGGTTCCTCCTGAGTATCATTTTTAACTTGAATCCATGGCTGTGTTGAAGCCCAGTGAGGGTTGGCTCCGTGAACCGGTTACTGTCCAAGTGAGAGTTGGGAATGCCTCAAGCTGTTATACGCCATGTGTGTCCATGTGGGCTAGTGAAATTGGGGTTGCTAGTAGTAAGTGAAGTCCATGGCACGGATTATTTACGATTATCCGAGTAGAACCTCCATATCTATCCGAAGACCGCCTTAGTAACCATGCCAAGTTCATCATCCCTGCCCCTTGAAGGTATCTGGAAAAGGTGCCAACGATTAGCAATTTCACACACTGATATATCGAATATTGGCTTGTTTAGACTACAAAATATGGCTCAAATACTGTCACAAACTTATGTCCAAATCTCCCTTCGCCCTTCATCTCTATCGGGATAAATCCGCACTATACAAGTTACAAGCGGTGATGGCGTCGGTTTTCAGTCCACTGTTTTCTGTGGCCGCGATGGAGTGGGTAATTGCACAAAGCTCATGTGTGGAACAGTGCAAAAGCGCCACAGTATACGAAGTTCTCTGAGGTGGCAGCCCGGCTATTGCGAAGCGCTAGCCGGAATCCTCAAAGCCCAACTGTACTCGTAAGGATATTTGTATGCTAAAGGGTGGTTAGAATCTCCCTAACGCTTTGCAAAGCCATTCTTCCTTGATTCCCCCGCATAAGCAGTCCTCACAGACAAACGAACCCAGGGATATCTGACATTTCGTGCCGATCTTCTCTTGGGATTGCTGCATGAACAGTAGTCACGGTGCCATTGCGGAGGTGGCTAAGATGAGGTTGTATGGTGATGTAGCTTCTGGTAGTGCACGGCAGTTGCTACATTGTTCGGCGTGGACGGATATCTGCGGATATTTATGTTACGCTCAGCGTAGCGGAAGTTGCTCTTGACCTAGCTCTTTCGAAAAGAATATCCAGTTCATACGTTTCTCTACAATTTCTCGCCATCCTCAATACTAAAGTTGATATCTAGGAGCCACCCATCAGGTACCAAATGATTGAACTGCTTAGCTTATCGATGACCGCTGGATCGACCCATACAATGCCGCTAGACCCGGGAAATGAGTTTTGTTTCATGTTCTGAAGCCGACCCACTCAGGCATGGTCCGGATCGCCCATAAAACACTCTAATTTTATAGGGTTACATTCTACTTCGCGCCAAGAGATTCTCAAATCATTTTGCACGCTCTGCTTTCCATCGTTCTCATAATGGATTATTCTTCAGTCCAATCATAAGAGCATCTGACTTCACGGCTGGAAATGAGTTTTCATGCAGGACATAGGGCGATGCAACAACCAGTGCTTAGCGTCCTCGTCGATAGTATACCTAAACAGAAGGTGAACAATTCTTCAGGAACCAAACGATCAATTCTGGCGCCGATGTAACGTGACGAAACTGTGATTGCTGCAAGTTCTTCTTAAGCTCATTTCTCCAATCGGCGTTTTACGTACTTGGAATTGATAGGCGTCGAGCACGGATTTGCGTCCTGCGCTACTTTGCTGACGTCGGATAGTGACAACGTTGGCATTTCGCGTATCGACAAAAGTGACTATCTTCTCTTCGTGCTTTCTTGCCTGTGCATGTTGATCATATCCCAATCCAGGTATTCATATATTGCACATCACTCTAAGCGCTGTCAAATGTCACCGTCGAACGACCTCAAGTTGATGTATGGAACGGTCAATTTCCATAGATGGGGTTGCAGTACCCACAGATCATTGTATTCAGTATCATGCCTCACATTTAATTAAACAGCGTAGCATTAGGGGATCATGAGGTTCCCGGTGGGGAGCATGGTGAAATGAGTTGAGATACCAGTTCATCAAAATGCGAATATATAAGAACACCAACTCGCTACCGAGAAATGAGCATCTCAGAACCTGCATCCATCTCCAACAAACACCTTTACCTTGTCCAACAAGTGGAAAAAGTCAACAAGCCAAACAAAATGCATTTCACCTCCTACATCATCGCTGCAATCGCCACTGCCAGCACAGCTTTGGCCCATATGGAAATGGTCCGTCCCTACCCTCTGAAGAGTCAGTTCGATCCCAAGAACGACTGGTCAAACATCGACTACGACAACACCTCTCCTCTTGAACCAAATGGTAAGAGCCGTAATCCCGTCTAGTGTCCAATACTCCAGCCTTGTCTAATAATCGTATTCAATACGCAGGATCCAACTTCCCCTGCAGAGGACACCACAAGGATACCCCCTGGCGCACAGTCGCCAACTTCACCGCGGGTCAAAACGACTACATGAAGCTGGTGCCAGGAAACAACCACCATGGAGGCTCATGCCAGATCTCACTCAGTTATGATAACGGCGAGACATTCCGCGTGATTGAATCGTACATGGGTGGATGCCCGCTCAAGCTTGAATGGGACTTTGAGATCCCCTCCTTTGCGCCCAACGGCAAGGCCCTATTCGCGTGGAGCTGGTTTAACATCGAGGGAAACCGCGAGATGTACATGAACTGCGCCCAGGTTGAGATCGAAGGCGGCTCCAATTCGGCCGAGTTTGATAAATTGCCGGAGATCTTCACGGCGAATATTGGAAATGGATGCAGAACTGTCGAGGGTAAGGAGACTGTGTTTGCTCATCCTGGTGACAGTGTTGGATATGCTGGAAAGGTGTCCCCAGGTGATGCTCCTTTCCCTAAGTGTGGTGGAAATGCGTAATGGGGGGAGAGGCCGACTCACCGAGAGAAAGAGGTATTTTCTGATGGCGGGTTCATCTGAATGACTTACTTGAGATTTGTGGTTTATTCTATTCTTTATAACGGGCTGAGCCTGTAGCTATCTTTGTTTATGGAAGCCATAACTATTTGATTGCCTGCTTTTGTGCCTACATGACAAATTACTCTGTAGGATATGTCTGTGCTGCTCTATAAAATACACAAGTCTAATCTCACCGTTGTTGCCTGATTGTATGTTACAGACATCTCTAAAGTCTCCTCTGTCTATGCATCGGTGTGATACCGTAGCAATCCCAATGCCTATGTGATCATGGTTGAACTTCCACCGTATCACTGCCTTTACCACAAATGCCTCGCAGGCCTTCCTGGACTGTTATACGCACACGATAAATAAGACAGCCATCCCACATCTTAGTACTATGAGACGCGAGCCATGTATCTAACAATCAAGTCCCAGAAAGAAACCCATCGAACGTAGATCACTCGTGATCCCAAATCAATAGAGAGACCCCCCCATCGACGTTATGGGTAGAGCCTGTCACAAAGGGAGATTCTTGACTTAGAAGGAACGCAATCCTATTCGCAGGCCCGGATCTACAGCTTCTAGTGAAGCTTCTGAAGAATCGGAGACGGGACGGGATATGTCGATGCGACCGCGGAACCGGTAGATTTATGTACCATAGCTATGCTACTTATTCATACACAAGTTAATGTTTGGCGATCAATGACTGTAAGCAGCAAGCTTCACAACCCACTCGTAATATCAGCGCTGGGACGGCAAGCATCAAGGTACCTAAAAGACAACTCTTCGCGCTCACCATCGCCACATAGTATAGACCTGCCCTATCCCTTGCCTAACTCGGGCCTGATAAGTTCTATGCCTCCTGCCCTGGGGCAATCTTTGTGGTACATTGCGAGATGAAAGTGCACTTGGTATGGAATTCTGACTTGTCTTTGAAGGTAAGAGCACAAGAAGCAGTGAATGGAAAAGAGCCGCTTGGAACGCCCTCCTATCTCATACGGCAAAACACACGACCCGATGTGGAGCCCTATTACTCGTTGCTTAGTCGCCTGCCATGCGCGCTATTCTGTTGAACCATGGCCATAAGGTCCTCATAGCTCTGGTGGTCTGCTCCATCTAGAAAGGCGGCTTGGATGGCTGTACCGTCACAATATCTCACGCCATACTTTTGATCCACCTCACAAGATGGAAATACTCTTGCGTCGGGATCCCTTTCAAGCTTATCGCGTACGCGCTGGACCACACTTGGATCAGCCCACGGATTATCAAGGTCAAGCAATTTCAGTAAACTGTCGGTCCAAGTGACTTGAAAATTCGTAAGCCGTGGGAAAGGCGCTTCTGCGAGAGTCGTGAATAGCTCTCGCCATTCGATCCGTTCGTTATATGCCGATGGCCGCTCGCCACTTGCAAAACAGTCGCGGACTGTGATAGACTCCAACGTGGTCTTGTGTCGAACAAGGAAGTCGCGTAGCTCGAGACAGATAATAATGTTGTTCAGGGTGAGTTTCCGTAGCCTTGGTAATGTAATATCTCTCAGGCCGATATCCTCCCAGTACGCTTGCCCTCCGTTTCCGAGCGTTCCCGTTTCGCGGGGGTCAAAGGAGAATTCTTCCACCGCAGCAAGGTAGTCGAAGAAGAAAGGCCCTAGGTAGTGCGAAAAGTCGCGGAAGATGGGTTGGGTAATCATGGTCCAGCCAACCCCGTTATCCCAACGTCTTAGGGAGAGATTGAAGGTCTTGAGCTGTGACAGAAAAGACTGGAATGCTTCGGTTGTGAAAACCGACACCATGAAGATGTTCAGATCGCGGAATTCGATGGATAGGGGAAGTTGATGATTGGGCGAGGGATCGATGTAATTGGATACAATTGCACGAAAGCTCGCTGCCATCAGCGCTCGCCAGGTATTTTCGCTCTCCTCCGATGGAGCATCATCCGGTTGAAATATATCACTTTGAAGGTAGTCCATCAACAGGTCAGACTCGTAGTCAAAGGGAAACTCAATCGTGAGTTTGTCAAGGCTGCTAAACATGTGTAGATTAGACAGCACTTGGTCGACCTCTTGGGGGTACACCTCCTCCAATGGTGAGCTCTGCTGATCTGCCGAGAGGTTAGTTAGATTCTCTTGAGTTTATTATCTTGATTATATGGCACGTACTCGTCTCACAGATACCAATGTACCGCAGCGTCTTGACACATGAAGCATGCCTCCCCTGGCTAATCGCGGTGATTGACCGGGCGCTTTTGGCCGTATTATTTAGTTCGAGATTGGAGAATATGCTCGGAGCAAGGATATGCCGCAACCATGTGCACGTACTACTCAGGTTTATGAGGTCAGGAAGGTATGGTAGACTCCGGGCTATGTTCTTGGGTTTCCAGTCACTATCAGGGTCTTCTTCCTCGTACTCGTACTCGTCATCTTTCGGGTCGGGTTCCTCACGGAGGAAGTCAAGCACAATATACCACACATCCAACCCGAGGGAGAAAAGCGGGAACTTATGCTGAGTCTCTGAGCCAGGTGCTAGTGCCATTCTAGGACGGTGTACGTATGGTGGGATTTAATCGTCTTTGCAGAGAGCTAGGTGTAGGACTCTATATGTATGTACCGTCAATGATTCCAGGCAACCGGTTATGATAGAAAGCTCAACCATCATTTAGCTGTTGGTGCCTAAGCCAAGACAGTAGTGCTTACGCACCTGCCTACATCGATCGATTGCCGAGGCTAGTGGACCATATTTGCCTTGATTTCACCATACCGCTGCGTGTTTAACCACCTCCTGCGCTCTCTGGGATATTAGCAAATAGCATCAAGCTTACATTCGAAGCTAAAGGTGAGAACTATATAGTAATTCCCATAGTATCTGCTAGACAATCTAAGTTCTTGTCACCCAAACTAAACCCCATAACAGGCATCGGCTTAGCCTTCGTATTTTACTAATACGAGAATATGAAGCTCACGACGACAAACCATTATGTCTAGTCGCTTCTGCTCGTGTTCATCGTTTGGGAATTTGTAGCCATTTTGCAATGGAGAGGGAAGCAGGCAGCTTACTTCCTCAGCGGCATGTAAGTATATAGGGCAAACCCACTTCGGGATCGACCAGCATGGACGGTTCCGCAGCTTGAATGGGGCCGCTGGGGTAGGAACACGACATAATCCACAATACATTTCCTATTTGGCTAGAAGGGAATATAAATATCCGCTGATTGACCATATTATTATGGATGAGTGTTGGTATAGCAAGTCTACCACTTGCAACATATTATAGAATATTCTTGTTAGTAATTCTAGTGATTGCGGGGAATGTTTCCCTCGAGAAAGAAGGATATCTCCCCCGGCGGGGATCTGAGATGGGGTCAAAACGGCAAAGTGGGCCATATCTGGTGGTTTACGAGCGACGACTAATACTATCTGTGGAAACCTCGAGCCTTACTGATTTAATCAAGAAGGAAAATGTTTTTTTAAGCATAAATTGGTTTATCCCTCCCTCCATGATCTTCTAATCCTATACAAGAGGCAGATTAATTGGTCCAGTAGCATTGTCGTTAGGGTTGAGAGATGCAGAACCCCGCATTTTATAAACCTTACCCACATTGCTGCCGTATTCAGAAATTCGCGGCGCATTTCAACAGAATATTACTCTATTGGGAAACTCGCGGCGGCGGATGCTAAACGGCGGAGAACTAAAAGATCGGAGCCGGATCTACGAGGATTTGCCCGGATATTTCTCCGTCGTGTGAATAAAAGGGTGCAAAGATGGCATAGCCGATGAAACATTGAGTCCGATTCATTCGTTTTGTTTCTCGCATCCTACGTGATCCAAACCCCCGACAAAAGTGTACTATAAAGCCACGGATCCATACACGTTGAAGCTCTCCCACCACAATCATCATGTCCCTGCCGACTCATTTCAAGCTTAACACTGGCGCTCAGATCCCCGCTGTGGGACTTGGTAAGATACAAGCGCTGGATGCTGCGGGCCAGCGGGGAATGTGCTGACCAGGACATACAGGCACGTGGAGATCTGAACCTGGTCTCGTACGGCAGGCAGTCTCTTTTGCCCTCAGCAGTGGATACCGTCACATTGACGCAGCACTGTGAGACTCCAACTTCTCTTTTGCTGCGCATTGTCTTGACTAACAAATCGCAGGATATATGGTGGGTTGTAGCACCAAGATGCAAACAAAGTTTTCGGGCCCTAAAAGGAATCAATAGGAAACGAGCACGAGGTCGGCCAAGGCATCAAGGACAGTGGTGTCCCTCGCGAAGACATCTTCATCACCAGCAAGCTATGGAACACCCATCAGCCCAACGTCGCGGAAGGTCTCCAGAAGACACTTGACGCTTTAGGCACGGACTACCTTGACCTCTACGTAATCAACCCCCTGCCCCCCCCCCTCTCCTGCCGCGTGGTAGGGCTGTCGATAGCTCGGCTGACTCCCGGATCAGCTCATTCACTGGCCAGTGCGACTTGTTCCTGTAAGTCACTTTGCTGTTTCCCTTCAAAAATACTCTCCACAGGACTGAGTTGTACGTCCAGAATGAGTCCAGCGAGCTTCTTCCAGTGAATCCCGATGGCACACGGTCCGTCGACCGATCCTGGGACCAGAGTGAGACATGGCGCCAGATGGAGGAGGTATATAAGTCCGGCAAAGTTAAGGCGATTGGCGTAGCCAACTGGTCGATCCCCTATCTGGAGGAGCTCAAAAAGAAGTGGACCGTGGTCCCGGCTGTCAATCAAGTCGAGTTGCATCCCTTCCTTCCTCAGCACGCGCTGAAGGAGTGGTGCGACAAGCAGGGAATCCTCCTCGAGGCCTACTCACCACTTGGCTCTGACGGTAAGTGCTCCTTGACATGGTTTGTGTGCTTTTTATGCGCTAACTATTTGAATTTGGTTGTTTCTAGGCGCTCCGCTCATGTCCGATTCCGTAATCCAGGAGATCGCTAAAAAGAATGATGTATCACCCGCCACGGTACTCATCAGCTATCATGTCAACAGGGGCGTGGTGGTACTGCCCAAGTCGGTTAAGGAAAATCGAATTTTGGGCAACAGTCAAGTCATCCCGCTCTCCCAGGAGGATATGGATGTGCTGAATGGCCTCGCTGCCCAGGGAAAGGCGAAGCGTATCAACACACCTCTGTTTGGATGGGATCTTGGATTCGATGACTGGTACACTCAGTAAAATGTCTAAAGTGTGACGATTAATCGTACAAGTTGCTATAGAGAATTAGAGTTTTTTCTATTTTCATTTGAAATGAGAGGAAAATAATGGAATCTGCTGATGGTTGAAACCCGCCCTGGCTGAAATAGAATGTAATACGATCTAGTTTCTCCTTCACACGGCATCTGAGGGCAGAGCACATCCAGTGATCGAGCAAGTCAAATGAAGGTGTTTTACGATGTTTCTAACCTAATTGCAGGGTTGCTATAATAGAAAAGAACGTAGCCCTTCCGTAGTATTTATTTCTCCTTTATTATTTTTTATTTTTTTGACCAATGTTGTAGTTCCATGGACAGTAGATCAAAGTCCATGCATCCTTCAACTCCTAGCTATCTCATCATGTCTCACTGGTACTCTGAGAATCAAAAACTCTATGAAGTCGGAAAACAAAAAAAAAGGACCTTAGACGGCACTAATGGCTTAACGCTGAAAAATGTCTTTATTTGATCTATAGAATCTAAACTTTATACGGATGTGGGGAGATGCCCTCTTGAAGAGCCTTCAGTCGTAAAGCCAGCAGCTTGGAGGCATACCGGGTCATGGGAAGAAAACCAACCATAATCCACAGGTTGGGCACTCCCGTCTCCCGGTAGGCCGTCTTGTACTCGCCCTCCTCATCGATACCCCAAATAGGTCCACATTGGCTGGCAATCTTCTCACCAAGCGTGGCTCGGATGGAGTCGATCGTATTGGAAAAGCCGGTAGCAAAGACAACCAGGTCAAAGTGCTTCTCACGGCCGCCGTTCAAGATCACCTTGTCCGAGGTGAATTCCTCAATAAAGCCTGGCTCAACCTTGATGTTACCATTGATAATTTCCTCACAAGCACCAGCATCGAAGTAGAATCCACCGTTCCGGGTCTGACCCAGTGTAGAGTTGCCCGTATTGCGTTGGCCGCGCCATGTGCGCAGACCTCGAGCGTTAAGCGCTTCGAGCAGGGGTCTATCCAGATCCTCAAGGTCCTTGGCGGTGCGCCTGCTGAGTTCTTCACCGGGTCCAACTGGCGTAGAGAAGAAGAGTCGATCCTGTACTTCGAGATCAGGGAGGTTACCATGCTTGTCGGGCGCGTACCCTCCAAGCATGCGGGGAACCGAATGTGTCAAAGACATGATGTAGGTCGGCGACCGCTGGAGGAGGGTCACGTCAATTCCCAGGCGGGAGCACTCGAAAGCAGTGTCAAAGCCCGAGGATGACGTTCCGACGACACAGACCTTCTTTCCGACAAACTCTCGGGCGCTGTCGTGTGCGCTGGAGTGACGGATCACTCCCCGGAAATCATCCATGCCAGGGATGGTTGGGGTGTAAGGGACACCGCATAGTGACGTGGCCATAATGACCTGCTTGGGGTGTAGTGTCCGAGTCTCCTTGCCCTCCTTGTTGATGATAATGGTCCATTTACCCTCGGTATCTTGCTCCGCCTTCTCAACCGAAGACTTGGTCCAGATGTTGAGCTCCAGAGCGGAGGCATACCACTGCATATATAGAGCCTGCTTCTGGGCCGGAGTATGCGTGGGCCAATGTTGAGGGTATTTGAAGTATGGCAATGCATCGGGCCAGTGCGGGAAGTGCAGTGAAAGATATTCGTAACGCTTCTTCCAGATATCTCCGACTTCGTCGCTGCGCTCGATAATCAGGTTTTCCATGCCAAGAACCTTGCAACGTGCTGCCATGGCGAGACCACTGGTAGAGATGAATTAGTATTACAGAATGCACCCACCATGCATGGGTCCTTACTTTTGACCACCCCCAATGATCAGAACCTCCGGGTCAACATTGTTGATGGCCTCTGATCTCTGGCTGGCCCAGCTAGTGATACCGGTCATGTGTCCATCTGGTGCGGGCTGTTCGGGGAACTGCTTAAGGCTCTCAGCAACAGTATTCATGATGTAAATTCTCCAGCCACCTTGAGTGAGGACTGCATTGATAACAGCCGAAGCAAGAACAAGCTCTGTCTCAAAGGACACAACAAATTGTAGATAAGAGTAGTCGGGGTAAGGTCGGGAGATCGAAGGCACAGGCTCGAGAAATTCGAAACGTCTAGCTTTGGTCTGAGGGAACAGGTCGGTAGCGGCTTTCAAGATGGCCTCTCTGAAGTTAAATGTGCGGAAGTCCCAGGTGAATGAGAGCCTGTCACGCCACACGCCTGTATGTCGGATGTGAGCTGAAGTCCAGAAAAGTTTTAAATTTTGTCTGGGAGTGGTCGTACCATGGTCAAGGAACAGCCCAGCATAAGCTTGCGCATCTCCTTCAGACATGGCCTTAGAGAGACGGGCCACAATGCCCTCGGCCTCCTTCTGAGCATCGCAATCGGCAGGGATATCAACACCCAAGATGTTGGTAGTAGGCAGAGGGTGGTTATACTTGAAGTCGTACATGAAATTGTCAGCGACAGGTTTTGGCACCCGGTCGCGATTGAGTGCCACATTCTTCGACTCGATGTTAGCCGTCGAGACCAAATCGGCTGTCGCAGAGTCTTGTACGTAAGGTGCCATTTTCTGTAATTGTGACGCAAGGAATGCTGGCGGGGTGTCTGTTAGGCAGTATTCAAGTTCCAACCTCATGGAAAGACGAATGCGTCTGAGCTGGCTAATATACTCTGACCTGGCCAACGAACAACGTGATCCCTATCTTCACTGGCACTTTCAGTATATTTCCTATTTGGGAAAGTCTCGGCGAATTTCACCACCACTGGATTTCAATGATTTTTATCATGGTCACATGACCGGAGATACCCCCCATCTGATCGGAGATCGACCGATTGACTTTTCTTGCATCTGGTGAATCTAGCGTTGGAATCTACAGTAGTTCTTCTCGAGCGGGAAATTACTCGATATGGAAAACAGCGGCGACAGCATGGACACTCTGCAACTGTTGTGCTGGTGATCCCCCATCCTGCAGAGTAGTTGCCCAACAGTCCATTCAGGAAAGCCCGTGGTCGACCATAGCGATGATCTGTATTGCCCCATCGGACTCGATTAGCTCTATCATGCGGTAGAAACCTAAGGTTGGCCGGACCGACATTACGAATTTACTCTAGACTAGCGATTAGGGCAAGTATATAACCTCCGTCTTCCACGGTGCAAAGTTGCAGTCAAGCTCTCTCGTCTTATTACACTGCCTGCAGCGCCACGAGCACCGCCAAATTTATCAAGTACAAGGACATCAGCTCATAGTAGACACTGACAATGTCGTCCGACAACCGCCGTGTCAAGTTTGCGCTTTTCGGCCTCGGCCGCCTGGGAGTCCTTCGTGCCCGTATTCTCGCCTTCCAGCAGCCTCGGATCGAACTCGTCGCCGTCTGCGATACAAAGCCCGGTACTGACAAATGGGCCGCAGAAAATCTTCCTCCATCCGTCAAGCACTTTTCAGAGCCTCAAGAATGCTTGAGGAACAGCGGCGCTGAGGCAGTCCTCATCTGTACCGCGACGGCTACACACGCGCCCTTGATCCTGCAGGCCCTTGATCTAGGCTTGCACGTTATGTGCGAGAAGCCCGTCTCTGTAGACATCGCTACTACTCAGGCAGTGGTCGAGAAGTCTGCTTCTCGGCCTGACCTCAAGTTCCTTGTTCCCTTCACTCGCCGATGTCAGTCACCCTAGGTCCCATGCTTTGCAGAGTTTCAGAGACTGACTCGCACTAGATGACAAGTCCTACCGCCAGGCTAAGGCCCTGGTCGATAATGGAGATCTAGGCGACATCCACGCAGTTGAGACGACTGGTATCGACCAAGCAGACCCAAATGGTATGGCTCTCATTATCCCCAGGTGTTCTCCTATACTGACCGTTCTATTCAGCCTTTTTCGTGTCCTTTTCTGAGCAATCTGGCGGCATCTTTCTTGATTTTGGCATTCACACTGTCAGTCCCAGCATTTCCTCCCTCCCTCACCATCCACTCCACTAACACGGAACTAGGTTGACGCCGGACGATACCTCTTAGATGTCAAGTCAGGCCTTTCCAACCCCAAGAAGCAAGTAAACAGAGTCATCGCCTTCGGTCAGGTAGCTGTCTACGGGGACTTAGCCAAGTATGGCGACGCCGACAACGCATGGGGCCTGGTAGAATTTGCCAACGGCAAGATTTTTAAGACTTACCTCGGTCGCACGTTAACCAGCGGTTTCGAGGACACGACTCGATTATGTGGCACCAAGGGACACTCTATCATCAGCGCGAACTCGAATGTCGAGATTCGGGACCATCTCGGCATTCGCACACAGTCTGTGCCTGATGCGTTCACTCTCTTCGATGCGACGTTCCTAGCTGACCTCGCCGAGTTCGCCGATGCGGTGCTTGACAACAAGCCCATGACCTGTCAACCGGAGGATGCCTTCGAGGCGGGCAAGATCTGCGCTGCTCTGCAGTACTCCTTCCGCAACGGCGTACCTGTGTATTTCGACGTCAACGGTCTACCCATCATGGAGTCCAAATAAGTTATGAAATAATTAGAAACGGTCTTAAAATAGAAAAAGAAGAATAAACATGGGATAAGTAGAACTTCATCTGCATATTCATGACACTTATAGAAGAACTGAACTAAGTAACAAATTGATCATTATGGGGTAGTCTATGGACAGTTCAGCCTTAGGATTTGTGCAAAAGGAAAAACGAGTTGTTTGGCGTATACTTATAAGTTGTCTAAACAGAAGGGATCCCAAACATTGTGTAGCTTGAATCTTGACGAGCATGTCAGTCTTGGTGAGTCGCGGCTAAAACCAGGTGCGCAGACCTACCGCACCGTCTGGAAACGTTAAAACAGGATTTGCCAAGGGAAAGGTAGTCTCTACGACGTTTTAGCTGACCTTGAAGATCTGCAGAATGTCTTTGGTTCTGTGGCAGGCATGGTGCCATTCATGCAGCACTTGCATCGAACGTACTATACTTAGTGGCCCGAGGCATGTAGTTATTGGAGGTTTGAGTACTGGTCGCAAACCGGTTATAGTAGATTATAGTGGGTTACACTGGTTTTATCTTAGATAATTATTAGTATAAAATAGTTAAGTGGGTTCTATACTAAAATCTAATTAATTATTATAGTAAGATAAACAGTTTTTTAATATTATAATTATAGATTAATATAAATATTATTTATTTAATATAGTTATAGAATTAAAACTATATAGTAATAAAATAGTTTTTATACTGTTTAAAAATATATTTATTTTAGTTAGAATATAGTATAAATATTATATATATACTATATTAGAAAAGTCTTTTACAGTTTACTCT